AATCTATAGCTACGCTACTGCTCTTGGAAAAAAAAAAAAAAAAAAAAAAAAAAAATTGGATACGAGAAAAAGGTAAAGTGGAGCATAGGATGTTAAATAAGTATTTCTGAAATTGTTCGCCATTCAATGAAGCTATAATCTGTCAGTATCTGGACAAATGCATAAAAAATACAAAATCGATTCGAAAAATGACAAATCAAGGCAGTGAATTTGACAAAAGCCAATCAATTTTCTAAACAATTTGGAGATACTCGAAAAGAACGAACAACCAATTTAATAACTGCTCGTAAAAATTAGATTTATTATTCACTTTTTTGTGAATATGACAATATTAATTAGTTTTTACCTCCTTTATTCATCATTTAATTTTTACACGTTTTGGGAAGATAATCCATTTTTCTTTTCAGGTCGGATATAGCTAACAAAACTTGGTTTCTTGAAGTTCCTTACCGCGGAGTTCAGTTGTATTTGTAACAACTTAGGAATTGAAAAAGAAAAAGCACAGCACGGGTTCATGTAACATGTTCGATTGATATAAAAGTTGGCGCAAACATAAAGCAGAGTGAATACATAGTTTTACTAGCAGTCGTCAAGGCCGATTGAATATATGCTATTACTTGAGCAAGACATTGTTAACTTGAATTACAAAATGCAGTGGGCGTCACTGGCGTACTTAGAACTTAATTTTGGGATTTTCAATCTCTCTATATGTATGTATGCGATTTAAAAGCGTTTCACATGCGCTATTTCTAAACAATTTTAAATACACTGCTGGACATTAAAGTTGCAACACCATAAAGGAAAGCAAATTAAAAAAAAAAAAAAAAAAGATATTTATTCCACGTAAACAGTATGACATGAAGACAGGTGACGGAGGACGGGGACGCCTGGCGTATAACATAGGTAAACAGGCATATGTCCCACGTCCTCCACTATCTCGAAGAAGCAACTCGCTGGAACCCCCGGGAGGCTGCACCGGGAGTTTACATGGCCATACAGGGGCTAGATGTCAAGTAGATTTTATATAGGACGTTGTTAATAACACAAAATAACTTAAAAAGAATATAAAGGATAGTATTAAAACACTAAAACACACATATAAGCTGAAACACATAGATATACAAATTAAACGTAAAAACATAAAAACACACTCGTAATTACGTAACATAAAGACATAAAAATACACACGAGAATACATAACATGACACATAGAATACATACGGAAACACGTAGAGCACATAAATGCAAATATTGCACACAGAAGAACATATGAGACATAGTAACGTGTGCGCAAAGCAGAAGCGCTATGCGGAAATATGCTCAGTACCCATAATACATAATTTGCATACTTTCATTAGGGGCTTCTGTTGCATGATTTACATATTTTCGTTGCATACACTACATTGGTGCATTGTACGGATATTATATATTTCGATTTGGGATAATTACAGTTATACAATTCTGGAAGGATTCATGGTTACGTTAGAGACATACAATACATTGGATAAATACATTAGGAACATACATTACTTCATTAGAGACTTGCATTACATTATTTACATATATTACGATGCATACACTACATTTGGTACATTGTACGAATTTATGCATTTCGATCTTGTGCAGTTACAGTTATACAATTCTGGAAGGATTCATGGTTACGTTAGAGACGTATGGCATGAAGACAAAATGATTAAATTTTGTAAGCATTTTGGAGGTTTGCAGGGATGTGAAATTAGTAGATACAGCTGCCACCCGTAACACTTAAAACGGCCCTTTATCCCATCAAGCATGGAGTCAAACTTGGCTTGGATGACAGAAATGGGCAACTCATTCATGCTGCTTCAAGTCTATGACACATTTCATCAACCGTATTAGCTGGAGAGGGGTGGCGGGCCAGTCTCTCACCAACCCATGACCAGATGTTTTCAGTGAGTGACAGAGCTGGAGACCGTGCAGTTCAGGGCAGCAATCGCATACCCTGTCTATCGAAGAAGGTCAGAACACGACGTGCAACATGTAGTCTTGCATTATCTTGCTAGAACATGGCGTTTGGGGACCTCGAAAATAGGGCACAACCACCGGACATAAGATGCTAGAAACGTACCCATCTGCGTTCAAATTACCGTCAATCCGAACTAGAGATGTGCGTGTCGTGTACCCAATGGCTGCTCAACCATCACAACTGGTACAGGTACCCTATGCCGATATCGAATGCAAGCAGGCGACGTGCGATCTTCTCGGACACTCCAGACACGTATATGGCCATCAGAATACTTCACATAGAACCGGGACTCGTTTGAAAAGGCGACATTGTGCCCCTCCTGTACCTAGCTTTGTCGTTTGGCTCACCAGACTCGCGATTTCTGTCTATGCTGCATTGTCAAGGGAAGCTAAAATAATGGTCACCCTGCTGATAGTCCACGCTGCTGCAACCGTCGACGCACCTTACGAGATGATACTGGGAGTGCTGCAAACATGCTCATTTCCTGACTGTTGGTCCGTGATACCGTTGTACGGTTTTGCAGGGCTGACCTCACAATATGCCTGTCCTCTCTGGCGTTAGTCATGGGATGGCGTTCAGTTCCTGCATGCCGTTCAGTATGACCATCAGCAATCCCTTGATTCCATATTCGCATGACACGGATTGGATGTTGACCAGTGCGACCGGCGATATCACGGAACGATAAACTACACTGTCGATAGGCAACGAGCCTGCCTCTATCGAATTCCGACACTTGTTGGAAGCATTTCATTTCTTCTTATTTTAGGCATAACCCGATATTCTGAGCAAAATCCGACCTTACAAAGCTTTTTCCGAATGAGAAATATACTATATAACGTTTCTTTTATGCAGTGCTTCAGACGTTGTTTCTCTCTCCTTCGTCGTCTAAATGAAAATCATTTGCATATCCCAACCTCTTCTTCCTTTCATGTGATTTTGACGTTCGTCATATCATTCCTTCCTGTTATTGCATTTCAATGGCGAGCAGTGTATTACATATACAAATACTTGTATTTTTTTCGGGTTTATCCTACTGATGAGTTCTTGTATTAATTTTGATTATGTTTAGCTACAGTGTTAGACCTTTTATGCACGCTTGTGATTATAGTTAAGGGATTGCGTTTTGATCCTAAATTAATTTTAATTTTGGATGCTTTAAGTCGTAATTTTAATGGCCAACAGTGTATTTTAACGTAGGAAACAGTCTTTCCGCAATACACGTGTTAGCTGCTAATGTATTAAACTTATAAAAAAAAATTAAACACTGAGTTTTCTAAACTTTTCATTGCCAAAATTGATATCTATCTCTTAAAATGCTACGATCTCAGAAATCAGAAGAAAATACATTTAAAAGTATTTTTAGTTTCTTTCAAATTAAGATTGGAAAGGGAACTTATTCTTTTTGAGAAATTAAAGTATTAAAAAAAATCAATATTTCTTTGCGTTTAAAACGTTCTTTTAAGTGCAAAATCATACAGTCCAAAAACAGGTAATCGAAAATAGAATTCTGTGGATTAGGTTTTAATACTGAAACATGTTTGCTTCCTTGCCAATCCCGGAAAATATATCAAATTATTTTTCATTTATTTGTTTCAAAACTGAGGTAGACCCTGAAAAACTTGCATTGAAAAGTGTTTCTGAGTTGTGATGAATTTCATGTAATTCTCTTAAAATATCACCACATAAATGAAACACTGCCTTGAGATTTATGAATTTCGACTGTTAAATCCCGCTTAATGGCAATATATATGGACATATTTGTGCAATACATAGTAATGCAATCCCAAAAGCAGAACATTTCAGTGAGCTCAAGAATATGTGATCTCAAAACATGAATCCTTATGATACGAATTACGTGTTATTTCTAGTGCATGAACCAACCCCAACAGCACGGCACGTTGCTGTAACATTGCAAACGTGTCGCACTGTTACGATCTCAATGTTGCAGGCATTAAAGCGGCTTAGTGTCCGCTTTTTGATCCCACTGTGACGTTGATGCGTAGTCACGCTGCAACATTGTTGTGAAGGTACACTGTGACATTGTCGTGAAGTCATACTGCGACATTCATGTAACGAACTCATTGCGACTTTAATATAACGCCATAGAATGACATGAATGCAGCATATAATACAGTGCCATGAATATAATGTCACTAAAGATGTAAATGGATGTCACGCAACACTGGATTACTTTCTAAATGATAGAGTGATGAATTCCTATTTTAGAAAACAGATAATTACAACAATGTTTTAATGATCCAGTAAGAAATTATACTTTTCAAGGTATTAAAATATTTCCGCAATATTCGAAATTTTTAAATTTTAAACTTTAAATGTATTTTTCTCAAAATCTATTTTTCACTTGGTGCAAGATAAACCAAATTATTATTACTTTATTTTTATGAAACGTTGTATGCTTAATCTATATATAATTATTTAGGGAATGACATACCAGATTATTTATATGTTGAATATTTTTGAAATGGTGGCTTGTTATTTAAAGAATAACATCGTGAATTTATCGAAAATGTCATAAAAAAATTACAAAATTTTGAAATTTTTTTACTATTAAAGATAATTTTAAAACCCTATGCCATTCCCTAGGTAAAAGCATGCAATTTATTATTCTATGAATTTTTTTAATATAAGTTTAATATTGTTTCGTATAGAATGTTTCAAATTGTTTTAAAATTTGCTTAAAATTTAACGTAAATTTAATATTTTTTGCAGGATAATAATAGAATATATTACATTTTGATATTGCATAATTAATCACTGTAGATAATAAATGAGAAAATTTGTTTATAGTATACTTATACTGCTTTTTTGAAAAAAAGTGCTCCGAACGTAGTCGGATACCTTAATTTAATAACTTTTTTTCTCTTCTTCTTAAACGGAAATATTTTTAAAAAATTCTATGTGGCTTAGAAGAAGTTTCGGGAAAGTTTATGAAGATTTTAATATGGCAGCACTAAAATAGATCTTTAATTCGAAGTGAAGTGAAATATCGAAGTGTTTTCATTCCGGCTTAAAAAAAAAAAAAAAAAACTGTGGAGTGTAATTAAATAACGAATTGTATGCCTATCTATGGTTATCAAGAATCTTAAAATAAATTTTTTAGATTACTGATTTGTGCTTGAAGCAATTTAATTTGATATGGGTACTGTTTTGGATCTCAAATCGAAACTTTCTGTGAGTCATTTGTTATTTCTTATTTAATGTAAATTTGGTATTAAGTATTATTCATGTGATCCTATGATCTTGTGAAGTATGATCGTATTATTTATGTGATATTTCATTGCAGAAATGGTTAAATTTTCCAAAACGTTTATACATATAAATCTGATCTACAATGGAGCTATTAAAAAACATAACTTTCGGAAAGTGTAGAATATCTGCTAGCAGTTATCGTTTTCATAATGTTATGGTTAAATGCTATGGTTAAATTCGAAACTTAAGACTCAATAATTAATAAAATATGATAGCCTGTTTCCATATCACGCTCTAGTGAAGAATTGGGTGCCTCTTCGATTAGCGACAATTTTTTAAAAATTTTGGCGATGAAACCTCACTTCTGGTTACCATGATAGTTTTAACTTTGTTTTAGCTTCCTGATTTTATGTAAATGAAAATAGATTGATGTGTACATGGACAAATTTAAGGCAGTGCGCAATGCCTAGTTTGTGCAATTCTAGGATGTGTTTTTAAGTGAAAACAGATCCATGTGCACATGGACACAGAGTTTGTGCAATTCTTTGACTTCTTATTTTGGTTTTGTGTAGCAGTCATCTGAAATTGTGCCTTCCTGTCGTCAATCTTGGCGTCAAAAAAGAATCGCCAAAAAATAAGGGGCACCCAATTGTAAACTTTTAAACCGTACAATATTAAATGTGGACGCCACGGCACACAATTAATTGGAAGTTGATCTGTCAGCACTATCCTTATCTTCAGGGCAGATGTTTTTATTTTATTTGGCTTATAATTCCTTACTAAATGTAGTATTTCATCTCGATGTACTCCGTTTTTCATATGATTTAAATCAAATTCCTCACCATCATAATTCGCTTCTGATAGTGAAGGAAAGTGACACAAAAATTATTGAAAATGAAAAAATTTTGATTGACAAATTAGTCGGTATTCTCGACACGCCAATTGTGGGACTTGAACAGCGGAACTTTGTAACTGAACAAGAAATTATGTCTGTTTATAGAATTAAAGAGAAAGTATTATCACAGAAAATGAAGCAACTTAAACAACTTACATTGAAAGAAATGTTTAATAAAGTAAACAAATAAATATTAAGGTTTTTTTTTTTTGTAAATTTTGATACCCTTTAGATCATAATTGTTCTTTATTTCATAAATTACGGTTTCATATTTTTAATTTTATAATTTCTGCATGCCATCTTACCAGATTTAAACTGATGATCTATAATCCGGAATAGCCGAAGTCCCGACGAGTCCGGATTAACGACTTTTGACAGTACTTACGTATTGTTCCATTGACTATAAAAGGTGGCTATTATTGAAACATGTTAGTTGCCAGACATCCTGCCAAATCTGCATTATTCATTCCTGCTGAATTCTGTAGAAATTGTAATATATAAACAATCAGTATGGTATGATCAATCATTTTTGCACTTCGTAAAAAGGCTTTCATCTATTTCTACTGTTTAATTTTACTGGAAGGTCTGATTAGAATGCTATGAATATAAATTTTCCACAGATAGGTGTTTCCATCTTTTTCTGTTTTGTCGACCATATTCAACTGACCACATCCATGTCCATTGATACTTACACACATTTTTCAATGGTTTTGATGATAGCATTCTATAACTCTGAAAAATAATCCACTGCTTATAATTCTGTCGAAGGCAGGCTCCAAATTTTAATAATTTTTCCAAAATGCAAGGAAAAATACAACAATAACAGTTAATTTATATCCTTGCTCATACAAACAAAATATGGCTTGTCGAGAATCAATCAGGGTAAAGAGCATAGATTTATGAGTGTGTTGTTATGTCATGGTTATCTATAATGGGTGCTAAATTGCATTACATAGTGACAGTTTTATGGTTGATGGTGCAATGCATAAGTACTGAAAGTAACAGCTGACAAAGCACTTCACAAGGTAAAATGTACCATGGATTGCTCTTTAATTTGACATTACTTGAATTTGGAGAAAACTGAATTAAAATGACCAATAAAATGAAATGAAAAATACAAGGGTCCAGAGAACAAATAATAAAACATTACATTTAGAGCTTTAGAGTAATCTTAAAATATTACCCAACTGCTTAATGGATTCACAAGAAGAAGAATAAACTGAGATAACAGGATGAATTACATTTTTATAAACCATAAAAATTTTCTGAACAAAATCAACATTATCTTTAGATTGTAGTTTGTACTTTTTCTTTGGTTACTAAAGGAGAAACTGAAGCTACAAATTGCAGAAAAATAATAGGTTGCTGAGAAATAATAAGTAATATAAGCAAACCATATACTTAAGCTAAATATAATACAGATTTCTGCAAACATATGTAGTTTTTTAAATAATGTTTTATATGTCTGTAGATTTTCATCATCTGTAAAGAAATATATATTTGATCTTATCAGTACAAAGCAGTTGCATATTTTCCAGAGCAGAGCATAATGTCCTTATTGAAGCTCTTTTATTTTTAATAACATATTAGATGACTCATTAATGTTATATGTAGGTACTAATTGAATATTGTTAGATACTATTTATTGAACTTGCATTGCATTAAACTGTTAGTTGACATTTATCATAAAAGTTTTAAAAGAACTGACTAGTAGTGATTATAAACTTCTGAAGTATTTATGATGATGTATCTGGTAAAACTTATGAATATTCCTATCACTGTACTGGGTATTATTGAGAGATGTGTATTTATAATTTAAGACAAATGGATTGCATTTTGTAAATTTTTTTGGGAAGGAATAAAGTGAACTTTTTATGTACATTACCTGCATTAATAGACATGAAAAATTCGACTAATATGATTTGCTGTAGTTCTTGTAAAGATGACTGATAATTTTTTATATATTCAATTGTGCTTTCAGGTGTTTATTTAAAATATGTTTAAACAATTAAATTTTTTAATCATGATCTCATTATCAATTTTCTTCTCGATGTCCCTAGAACCAATGAAACCTGACTGATTTCCTGAGGTCCCACAGTGAAAACTAAGATATACCTTTTGTCTGTACTGCAAGATTAATCATATGCATTCACAATTCATTTGATGTTTTACATATAGTAGTCACACACACATATACATATATAAAGTATTTTAAACATTTTCATTCTTTCCATTAGCCAGAAGTGCATATAATTGTAAATAAGAATTAAAATTACAAAGGGAGAATAATGCAAATAAATTTTTGATTTTAACCTTTTACATGCCAAACTATGATGCGAAAGTAAAATAAACGTTTTGTTGTGAAAAATTGATTTAAAACTGAAATATAAGAATTATGAAAAAAGAAAAAAAAAATTAATTTTTTAAAATGATTTATAACATGTTCCATAAATGGAACATTGGTGGGAAACAGTTTTTCTACATGATTTTTTTTAAAACATGATTATCGATATTTTAATTTGAAGCTTCATTTTTGTCTACACTTTTTCAGCATTAGCAAGTGAATTTGTCAATGTTATTCGGAAGTAACATAGATTAAGCAGAAAAATAGGAAGCCTACACCTTTATAACCGCAAAACTACTCCACCAAAATTTCTTAGGAGAAGATATGAAGCTTCCACAGAAAAAAGCTTTCATAATAAATTAAAACAAAAATTACATAGTTGATAAGCAATAATTATAAAAGAATTTTACTTTAATTGTTAGCAGTTTATACTGAAACAAGGAAAAGAGTTGTAGAAATAAGTAACAAATAATCTCCATACAAAAATTCACACTCCATACAAAAAAGACACCGAACTATTGAAAGTTTTTTCCCAGTTCTTCATAAAAAGGAGAAACTTTTCCTACTTTATCTCCTAATGCCAACTTGGTATTATCTATAATATGAAAATATTTTTTCAGTTTTTGAAGTCTATTTCTTGGTATTACAGGAGAAACTACTGGGACAGATAAATCTTCTTGAGTGCTTCAGTATAAATCTTCGCCGGGTACTCAATGATACTCGCTAAACAACAGTAATCCAAAAAAACTGTCCAATATGGTTTTCATCTACAGCTGAAACTTCTTTCTGCATTGCGTAAAGATCTGTCATATTTGCTACATGCAGCAAATATTCTCTATTTAGGAACTTGTGAAAAATCTCAACTGGAGATAAAGTAACTAGTTCAGGAAACACTTCGCAAATACTTTCAATGCTGTCAGTTTTTAGAATTTTGTTGAAATTTAACCCCCCCCCCCACCGATGATCAGTGTTTTTCTCTTTCACATTTAGTTTTCGCTTCAAATTCCTCCTTCCCTTTGAAGAGGAAGGTTCTTGAGGATCGAATAAAATTTCTTGAGATATTTCATTATCATCTATTTTATTAGAAATTTCAATTTTTTCCACATACATCCGCTGGCAGAACAGGCTCAAAACTATCTTCATTTACATCTTCCTCATCTGTCAAACATCCAGTTTCTTCTGGAGGCAGTTGACAAATATCAATACACTTTTCATCATCTGATAATGTATATAAATATTCCAATGCTTCTTCAATAGTCTAAAACGGTTTTGAATGAGCCATTTTATCAGCGTAGCATATCTTCACGAACTGAAAAAAAAATGCAAACAATGGGAAAATAATTGAACTCCACACTCCAAAATATATGCCATTTTCACTGAGTCATAAACAATCTCTAGCGTCTAGCCTATCAAGAAACGCCACGTGCTTTTCTCTAGCACCTGTAAATAACTCCCTTCAAACCCTTATGGGAATGTGTGAAAGGAGAGGAGGGGGATATATGGGAGTCGAAAACAGATTAACAGTCATAAACATCTGTTTTCCACACTTACTGGAACTTTTCACATTTGGAAAATCTTTCTCCGTGCCTCTATTCACAGCAATCAAAGTAATTTCATCATGTTAAAAAATATACCTTTACATGCCAATGTTCCCTTTCTGGAACATCCTCATTTCTTACCTCATAGTAAAAAATAATAATCATCTTTCTATTATATCTTACTGTCTATGCATAAAATGATCTTTTTTAAATATTCTCATTGAGTTTTAAAAACATTTGTTGAATTTTTAATTTTATATGAATTTCTGAATTTTGCTCTTAGAAAAGAAGGAAAAAAGGGTGAATAATGAATTTTTTATCAAGATAATTTTTCTTTTAGAAGAATTATATTGCTACTAAAACATCAATCCATATTTACTCTCCATGTAATAATTTATACAAAGCAATATTAATAAAATTGTGTTTTTTATGAAATTTTAAATTCGATGTTCCATTTATGGAACATTGGCATGTAAAAGGTTAAAAGAAAATTCAGTTTTTTAGTTTTAAAAAAGGAAATTCAAATGCAGATGTAAAACCACAGCAGGGGACTGCACGTTTTTCACATTCCTGCAATGATATAACCTAATGACTGTACACCTTTTAATGCAGGTGTAGCCAAATGGTACCAAGAATTAAACTTTATGTGGTTAGGTACACCATAACGGAAATGAAGGATTTTTCTGATGAAAATATCAGATATTTATCAAAAAATGAGAAAATTGTGTCTTTTACGTGCTTAATATTAAATTTTAAAATTCATTCTTTCTCTGTTTACTGAACTTAAAATATTAGTAACAATTAGCAAAGAGTACAGAAAAGGCAGTTAGAGTAGATTTTAGTTTGGATTACTGCTAAGTTGTTTCATTTATCGCCAAGTTTCTGCTTCATTTATTGCCATGTTGTTGTTTCATTTATGGTAACCTGAATAGTTGAATATTATTGAAACTCTATTATGACGTAATTGGTTGCATGATTGCAGTGAATTTGAATGTTGGGAAAAGCTTTGGAAAGTGTATGTTGGATTTTGGATAAGAAGTACATTGTTATTTTGTGGTTTACACGGTAAAATATCTGAATGTGGTAAAATACATTTTAAGTTTCTGTACGATTTGGAACAAAAGGGGAAAAAGCATTAATTGACTGCTGTGTAAATGAAGGTTTACTTAGTAGCCATTATTAAGTGTCCTGTTTGTAGGAAGGAAATGGTTGAACACCAGACTGGCACTACGGAGGATATTTTTGTGAATTTATGTGGCGACGCCAGTATACAGATTCTAGTTCAGATAATTTTAGGAAGTTTTTGGATGCTATTAAGGAATTTTGTTTGACTGAAGACACGTAAATTTGTAAATAAGGTAGTGGATATTTCCTTTGTGTAGTGCTAAGACGGATTTCCTTTTTTATGTTATTTCATTCTTTGATTTAAAATGTAGTTTATTGAGATTATATATTTTTTTTTGTTGGCTGCTCTTTTCACTTTTTAATTGAATATAGATTGATATGTACATGGACAAACTCAAGAGAATGTGCAATGCCTAGTTTTTGCAATTTTCTGATGTTTTTTTAAGTGAAAATAGGTCGATGTGTACATGGACACTGAGTTTGTGCAATTCTTTGACTTGTTATTTTGAATTTATGTAGCGGTAATTTTTGGCACAGAATTCCCCATTACACAAAGTCAAAGTAAAAAGACAAGGAATTGCACAAACTCAGTGTCCATGTACTGCCAATTATTGCCAAGGGGCACCCATAAATATATTTTTGCCGAAAAGGCAACAGCAAAGGAAATAAAAAGAATGTTAATAGGTTGTACACAAAAAGTAAATACATATAGTTTTATATTTTATATATGTATATGCAATAAAAGTCATATTAGGCATCGGCATTTTTAAAAAAATTGTTTTTGGGGGAGTATTAACAAAATCTTGATTTTTTTTTTTTTTTTTTTTTTTTAAATTAGATTTTTGAGTAATCAAGTGGTTTCAAGTTAATCCAGATTTTGAGATTCATGTTTAATGCTCCAGCATATTTACAATTTCCAATGCCAACATATTTTAAAAGCTTTCAGCACCTAAAGAAAATCATCTTATCATATTCAACTTGTTCTTACTTTCACTAGATTGGAAAATTTCCTCAATTGTAATTTTTCTTCTTTATTATTTATGTCTGGTTTTAAGCAGTGCCACCATAATATTCGAAAATTCAGTGTGGAAAAGGCTATATTTTATATCTGCCTTCAGAAAGTGAAAAATATGGCTTATTTCCTAAACATTATAAAAAAAAACTGTTTTCTTTTCCAAGGACAGTTATCTTTGCAAAAGTTGCCAGTTGATGGAAATAGAATGCTTCATTTTGTTTTCAATTAATGTAAATTTAATTAATAAATTAAATGGCATAAATTACTCTAATGCAAATAGAATGCTTCATTTTGTTTTCAATTAATAAAATTTTAATAGCATAAATTACTCTCATGCAAATACCTTTTTTCAGCTGCTTTTCAAAGATGTTGTTGAAAGAAATAGTTTTGATGATTTTATTGCCAACTCTCGCCAGTTACTAAAGTCTCAAAAGTAAGTGATGCTCTGTAAAGTAAATTTTGCTGATGCAGGTAACTGTAATTTGTATAATTAAATCTTTTTTTTTTTTTCCATTTATTTGCAGTGAAAATGACTTAAAAAATATCATTGAACTGACTGTACGAGAAGTTCTTCTGGAATTAATTGTAAGTATTATTAAAATAGAATTTAAGGTCTGTTAAAGATGCTGTTATAAAAATGCAGTGAATTTGCATGTATTTTTTTTCCCTCATTTTCTGTCCCCCCCTTTTTTTTTTCAGATGCAGAAAACAGATATAATACATTTAGAAAGAGTTTTCCAGTTTTCCATTGATGCCGCTTTACGGGGTAAATAATAATAATAAAAAAAGAAGTTTTTAACATAATATGTCTTGCTATTTTAATTTTAAATATTATTTTCAAATATAATATCTTTGTAGCTCGTTCATTCTTAAATTATGTTTTTAACCACTTACATATTAAATATAACTATCAAAGTAGAATAAAAAAGCTCTGTCAGAGAGATAATATTGGTAATTCATATTTTATGCTCTGGATTCTCATCAACATTCTCCACCATTAGCAAGATATTTTAAATTAGTACATTTTTTATTGTTACTATTCCATTGGAAAGTTATTTATTGATTGGAAAAGTAGTAATGCTTTTATTGTTCCTACCCTTAAGGTTGTTAATGTTAAAAGAAGGATAACACTTATAATTCTATTTGTCTCTGTTTGTGTTTTAATGAAGTGATTCCTTGAGTAATGGGAATAACCAATATAAAATTCTATGGAAAGGCATATCTCTATACCTGCTCATTCAGTGTACATTGCTTACCATTCTACAATAAAAGTTGGATAAAAGTATGGAATTCTATTAATGCCATGTTATCAAGTATGCCACATTATTATACAGTCAAAAGTCTTTAATCCGGACCCGTCGGGACTTTGGCGATTCCGGATTATCGATTTTTCCGGATTATAGATCATCAGTTTAAATCTGGTAAGATGGCATGCAGAAATTTTAAAATTAAAAATATGAAACCGTAATTTATGAAATAAAGAGCAATTATGATCTAAAGGGTCTCAAAATTTACAAACAAAAAAAAAAGCTTAATATTGATTTGTTTACTTTATTAAACATTTCTTTCAACGCGCGAATGTGTAAAGCATACATTACGCAAAGTCGAAATTAGAAAAATGTAACCAGAAAACTATTTGATGTGTACTCGTGAATATATCATATCAAAATAAAATATATGATATCAAAGACTTCCGTCTACATCGAGATGAAATACTACATTTGGTAAAGAATTATAAGCCGAATAAAATAAAAATATCTGTCCTGAAGATAAGAATAGTGCTGACAGATCAACTTCCAGTTCATTGCGCGCTGCGACGTCCCCCCCTTTCCCCGCAGAGCAGTTTGAAATTGATAAACAGATTTCAGAATGGTTAGAGAAACAAAGGATATGCCTTTATCCATTTTTTGCAGCAATTCCACTTTTTGTTTGATGGACATCGAAACATACTTTCACTTTGTAGATCCTTTATATATTAGTAAATATATATCGGAAATTCTATTTGACATAATCGAAAGTTCAAGCTTACTTTTATAAAATTGCTCTAACAGTCTGCAAAAAATAATAAGCCGGATCCAATTCGAAGATTAAGGAACAACGCAATCTGCAACATTAACTGAAATAGATAATTTTAGCTTAGCTTATACCGTCCGTTATACATTAAATGCGTATGAATAAACGTATTACACGCATGCCCTGAACGCATTATGTGTTGACGCATGTGCAGAAAGTTTATAGCTTTGAGGTCCGGATTATAGATCATTCTGGATTTTGGGTGTCCGGATTAACGTCTTTTGACTGTATCAAGATAATTTGACAAAAGCAAATTTATAAACATTATGTAACCCTTTGTAAGAATGCAAAACTTTGAACAAAGCACTATGTAGAGTATGCAGAATTTCTAATGATTAAAAACATATTAAGAGATGAACTAAAAATATTTACAATTCATTATTCTTAATTTTGAATATACTGTGTTGCTTTTGTATGAAAATATTTTAGAGTTTGAATAACCACAAATTTGTCAAAACATCATCAAAGAAAATATGCAGGTTTGTTATTTTCCCACTATAGTTATTGAGCTGTTTAGATTTCACATGTGTATGTAATGCTTTGGTAGCTGTATGCGAAATAACATTATTTAGAACTACTTCCTTCTCATTGTCTACTTCTTTTGACATTACCAAGATTTCCACAAGTAGCTCATCTTTGCATCTTCAGTTCCTTTAGCCCATGGTTTTTTTAACTATTTTCAGTCGTGATCCCTTTTTATCACTGAGATTTTTTCACGAATCCCGGGACCCCATAATATTTACAAACATTTTGTGCAACCCCATAAGTATCGCACAAATCCGAGACATGCGTGAGTGAAACTGTCAGTTTTTTCCACTTGTACTGTAACGTACTATTGCAGTTTTAGGCCATTAACTTTAATTCCTAATTTTAAGACTTAGAACAATGTGAAAATAAGTAACAGAGGAAATGACAGCATCATGTGCAAAACAAGGAAAATGAACGTTTATATTACAAAAAGGAATACGTCAAAACTTTTTCTTTTTTTTTTTCTTTGTATTGTTTTATCTTTATCTATTTTCAGATACATTGTGTAAAAATATTTGGTAATTGTAAAATTATTATAATAAGTTAAAGAAATATCAAAACTGCTAAAATTTTTGGCAACCCCCTGCTGCGGGACCCACAGTTTAAGAAACCCTGCTTTAGCCCATTTCACATAGAAAATTGTTTGAAACAGCATTTTGGAATAGATCCAGCAGTTCAGAGTGGTTAATCATAAAAATATTGATATTTTTGCTTTTTTCAATAGCATTTTGCTACATAATATTTAGCTAGAATGATGCTGGCCCCATGGTAAATAATGAACACTTCTGATTTTTTCCAAACAAAATTGCTCAAAACCTCATCTCATAGCACTTTGATCAGATGTATGAACACCAGATTATCTGAATTATTAGATGTTGAATTACTGGACTTTTACTAGAGTCAAAAGTCGTTAATCCGGACGTCCATTATCCGGACCTCAAAGCTACAAACTTTCTGCGCATGCGCGTTTAATGTATAACGGACGGTATAAGCTAAGCTAAAATTATCTAATTATCTATTTCAGCTATTGTTGCAGATTGCATTGTTCCTTAATCTTCGAATTGGATCTGGCTTATTATTTTTTGCAGACTGTTAGAGCAATTTTATAAGAAGTAAGCTTGAACTTTCGATTATGTCAAAAAGAGTTTCCGATTCTGGAACTGCAAAATGATCTACAAAGCGAAAGTATGTTTCGATGTCCATCAAACAAAAAGTGGAATTGCTGCAAAAACTGGATAAAGGCATATCCTTTGTTTCTTTAACCATTCCGAAATCTGTTTAGCAATTTCACGCTGCTCTGCGAGGGTGGGGGGAAACGTCGCGACGTGCAATGAACTGGAAGTTGATCTGTCAGCACTCTCCTTAACTTCAGGGCAGATGTTTTTATTTTATTCGGCTTATAATTCCTTACTGAATGTAGTATTTCATCTTGATGTACTCCGTCTTTGATACGATTTAAATCAAATTCCTCGTCATTATAAATATCACGAATACACATCAAATAGTTTTCTGGTTGCAATTTTCTAATTTCGACTGCGTAATATATGCTTTACGCATGCGCGTGTTGAAAGAAATGTTTAAAAAAGTAAACAAATAAATATTAAGCTTTTTTTTTTTATAAATTTTGATACCCTTTAGATCATAATTGCTCTTTATTTCATAAATTACGGTTTCATATTTTTAATTTTATAATTTCTGCATGCCATCTTACCAGATTTAAATTGTTGATCTATAATTCGGAAAAACTGCTAATCTGGAATCGCCAAAGTCCCGACGAGTCTGGATTAAAGACTTCTGACTGTATATTAAAGAAATAAGTGGTTCTTAAATACATATTAAGCAAAAGTTCCCATGGCATGATTGAAAACAGCAATCCAGACATGTACAGTATGATCTTCATAATGCATAATGACCATTAAACTGCAAATATACAAGCGCACTTTGAACAAGTATTTCATAACTTGTACTGAGTTTTTTGGCATTGATTTCTAGCACTTTGCTGTTCTCTGAAAGTGGTATTTTCTTATTTTTCGCAATGTTTTCAACCATTGGAAATTAATGTTTTGCCAAGCTAAGGTGCAAAAGACAACAGCCAAAAAAAAAAATGTGGCCCACTAAGAATTGCATAAAGCAGCAATCAGTTAACAAAATTAAAAATACCAGAATCATCCAAAATAAAATTTTACTTTTCTTTGTGCTTTCCCCCCATGCAGCAATTTGCTTTAGCTTTAAAAAATATAAGATAATTGTTGAAGTTCAGCATCTTGTATTACTTGGCGTTGCACACACTTTTATTCTCTCCATGTACACAGCAATCTGTTTTTGCTTAAAATAGATCAAAGAACTAGGCAGATTTGACATTACACACACTATTGTTATGCCTTGTAAATAGCTATCTGTTTTCACTTTAAAAAACATGAGAGGATTGGACAAATTTTTTATTCTAAAATTTGATTATCTATGAAATACAACTTTATGAAATGCAAAGTATAGCATTCTCTGCTGCCATATTTCTGAAGAAATGCAATTCTCTTTTTTCATCGACCAGTAAACTCTCAATCTCGTGACAGTTCCGTACAGGAAAAAAGTACACTCAGTACAATAACAACAAACATTGATGATCAATATCAGTGCAGCAAAAACAAGCATTAATGACCGGCACTCGTCTGCTTCATATGCACATACCTGTTTTGTTATATAAATATATTTTGGCAACTTAGTGGGGTTGTTTATTTTGGCAACATAATATTGCATTCCTTGTGACTATTTTCTGGGGGATGCATACAATCAGAAAGTATCTTGAAATATACCTAGGAATATGCAGTACATATACTATATCATATTATGCCTTGAGGATTATGCTTAACAATCAGAATGTATTACTTTTTATACCAGTTAGAAAGAATGAAAATAATATGCACAATAAATGAGCAATACAGTGTACTTCATTATTACTTTTTCATGTTGATGGTGCCTGCATAGTTCAATTAAATTTTATCATATGTGTATGCCATATTCATGCATTATTTAGTATCATGTTATAGTTATATGTCTGGGATTGTCTATTATATAGAGGCACTATTAAGAATAGATGGAATTCACAGCTTTTTCAGTGCTCCGAGACCCTATTTAAACTGTTTCAAGAAATATGTGTTCTATCAGTGAATGTGCACCCTATGTTTAAAAGCTTCATAACTACACTAAAATCATAAATGATAGAGAATATCTGTACAAATTCCATCTTGCAATGTAAATTTTATAGTATATTATATTTTTAATGCGTGATTTCTGCCTAAATTTCAAGCAGATATAATATAAATCCTGTTGGCGACCTTTTTTGCTTGGTGAACCAAGGAAAGAGCCAGCGAACAAAACTTGTATTGCATCAAATGAACACTGCAAAAAAAGGGGGCAGTTCTATTTCATGTTTTGAAAGCGCGACTTAGCATATAGGTTCTAATATAGGTATTTTAACACAAAAATCGGACTTTTTCTGAAATTACATTCAAATTTTTTTCCCATATTTCGATTCTTTGATTCAAATTATGTCAAACTGTCAAGTTTTCTTAAAATCGCATGAGTAGTTTTTTAAAAATTGGCTCTCAAAATTTTAGCTCCTCCATGTTAATTGAATTTGATATATATTTATTAATATCTCTTTTTTGTTAAACTTACTTGATTCTTTCTTCCAGAATTTGAAATTTAGGTTTATTCCGAATAAAATTCACTCATTTTTTATGATTTATTTTTAAAATTTGTATGTTAAAATAATTTTTATAAATTTTTCGAAAAAAAATTTGAATAATAACCTATACAATTTTTACCATCTTCTTGATGTAGATGTATTTCTAAGTATACCTGCAAAAAATTAGAGCTTTATATTCAGAATTTCCTAGGTATATGTTAATTTACATACTGGCACGTTTTGAAATCTGGTATATTTGTTATAAGCGATAATGATGCCAAATGTGGTTTACGCACTTTGTTAAAATTATTTAAAATAGTGAACAATGACTTTTTTCCCTGCTCAATTACAATGAAAAAAAAAAAAGGGAAAGGAAAATAGGTTGCTATAAATTAAGAAGTTTCCAAGTGAATTATTCTTGGTGCAAACTGAAAAAAGTGCTGTAATATAAATTTTAAAATTTCTCCATAATTTTCGCACCAAATTAAAAAAAATTAATATTTAGGCATAATTTGAGTCATAGAATCGAAATATGGAAAAAGATGTCATGTCATTTCAGAAAATTCGATTTTGTGTCAGAATACCTATATTAGAGCAGTGCTATATATAAATGTAATATATATCCTAAGTTGTGCTTTCGAGACCTGAAAAATGTAGTTTGAATTTCTTCAATCGTCTCAGTAGAACGAGAGATATAGATCTGTCCCCTCTTTTTTTTTTTTTTTTTTTTTTTTTTGTGCAGTGTACATACATCAGAAATGTGAAAAAGTGTGCAGCAAGTCAGTTTAACACTCAGCTGTGAAATTTTCAAATATTGTAATATATATAGAATAATGTATAAAAGAAATTAAGCAAACAAAGAAAGAAACAGTTTTTCACAGATGATTTAGTATTTCTCATTCAATTAATTTAGTTCTCACTTTGCGACAAGGCAAAAATACATAAAAACTCAAAATATCTGTATTAAAAATTATGAAGTAAATCTTAAACACTTATTTCCTCGAAAAAATTCCAGAAAGGATTAAGCATGATTTAATTCACAATAATAAATGAGGGCATTATCTTTGTTGTTGCGAAGCTTAGTCTCTCTAGATTGGCAACAAATCTACTATTCCGCTGTTTCAAATGTAAACAAATATGTCCGCCATGTTATTTAAAATTTAAGACCTAACTGCACTTAAACAGCTTTTAAATTGTTGATTAATTGTACAAATGTTGCTTGCAGATTCACTAAAGGCATAAAATCCTTAACCGGAAGATAAGAATGACATAATTCAATCATTTTTAAAGCAAAAAATGCACAATTTATAAACATATAAGATTAAAGAAACTGAGATCACTGAGCCGGGTAACAGAGTGGATATATATAACGTTTGGTGCGGCCGATTGCAAGCAAAATACGAGGTGCACATCTACATGTTATAGTAGTCCTATATAAAAAATTTCAACGTTCTGAGGCTACTCGTTTTTGAGTTATGTGAGATACGTACGTACATATGTTCGTACAGATGCCACGAAAAATTCTCTTCAGAATTCATTTTAAAGAAGTTTTATAATTTATTGGAGGAAAAGAGTCTTTTATTCTGTCTTTACATACAGATGTCACGCAAAAACATTGTTAAATTGCATTCGATAGTGGTCAAAATGGATATTGTCGTTGAAATATGCTGCCTGAAACTTTTCACGATTACAATACTTCCTTTTTACTTCGTACAAGGAAGTAAAAAGGATATGAAAATCCTCAAGATGGTCTTTAATTTGAAAATTTCATCCTAAAATTATGAAAAAAAAATTTCTGATGTTTTTACAATGCTCTAAGAAGGCATATTGTTAAAAAAAATGAAAATAAATAAATAAAAATACGAAAAAGGAAATGAAAGTGTGAGCAGTGTTTTTCAACCTTTTTTTGAACTTTGCACCCCTTTCACCACTGCTAGGCCTTCCCCCTGCTTTCCCCACACTTGAAAAATACAAGTACACATTTATTTAGATTATTTTCTAACATGTTTTATAAATTAAACAAAATAAACTGTAGAAAGTGTTGGTAAATACCAAAACTGGAATAAAAATAGCTGGTTTCTCCCCCTCCACACTGATAAAAAGTAAAACTAATTACTTAGCAGTGAAATAAAAGGCTGACCACATTCCCTCCTGGTTGATAATCTGATTCAGAATCAATATGGCCTGATAGAAGAGATCCTTTCCTCATTAAGTTTCCAGAACAAATAAAATGATAACAGCTTAAAAACTACTAGAAATTTTGTTCTATTTCCATGTTTGATGGAACTCCAAAAATTCCAGACCTGAAACTGGAAAGCAGTAGTATGTAAAAACTATTAAAAGAAAAGAGATTATACTACTTTTGTACCCTGAAATTTGGTTTCTAGGTGTCTAGTTTTCTCAGAGATTTACAATTGTATTTGGATGTTCTATTGTTTGCCTTTATTTATTCTTATGTATGTTAATTTTGGAAAAAAAAAAAAAAAAAGACTAGTTTTGATATTTTACATAAGCCATTTCCTTCTTTATTGCTTTTCAGATATAGCACCTGGAAATCTTCCAGTTCTTGTGCTTGGAGACATGTTTGAAGCCTCTACTGTAGTTGAATGTGAGAAAATATTTGCTTTTGTTGAAAGCAGAGTAGAAACTTTCAAAAAGGTTCATTTTCATTTTTAATGTCATGAAGTTGTAGTTGTTATTCATACTTTTTCGTGTCAATAATGGTATTTTATTTTTAGGATATTTTCTTTAAGACGTGCAAAAATCATTTGTTAAGGTCTTGCAATGGTAAGTTTTGTTCTATTTTTAAAACAAATATTTTATAGCTGTATAATTAATTATCAGGCATAAAAAAGACCATTATATAATTTTTGGAACTTGTTGATTATCTAAGAAATGAGAATTATCTCGTTTTAGCTTTGGTGAGAAAGAGATGGTTACCAGTACACATAATTAAGTCATTCATTATAAATCTCTTGCTAAGTAACTTTTAAATAAATATTGCAAATGTCATAGTTGGATTTTAAAATACATTTTAGTCTCCTACTTCAATAACTTGATAGTTATATTATGAATTTCTGCCAGTTCTATTCACTTATATGGCAAAAACTCATAAAATAAATAGTTTGTACCCTTCTGGCTTTAGCTGGTTATCAAGTACTTGTAATTACTTAGGTGGCCACTTGTCAGTCCTAGTTGGAAGTTAAAAGTAATTTTATGTATTGAAACCATGAAATCACACATATACAAATTAATGATAAAATACTGACATCTAAGTGTTATAAGGTGGCAGGTAAAAATGATGCTTTAGATTATTTATTACAAGCATTTATTGCAAGATTTTTATTATTTGATTCAATAATAATGTAGGACTGCTTTCCATTTTCGCAAAGTTTTTTTTTTTTTTTTTAGATACTCATCTGAAGGTCTTTCTAAATGTGGATTATATTTTAAAGGAATATAAAATTTCCTGTGTCTTAATTTAAAGAAAGTTAATTTCTCTCAGAAAATTCTTCATGAAGGTATTCCTTCCTAGCAAGGTAGTGCTCAATTTAGATTTAGTAATTTTATATTAAATGACCTGGTGAATGGCTTGGGGAAAGCTGATTCTGATTAACCTCTGCCACAATCTCTTTTTTTTTTTTTTTTTTTTTTCTCTCTCCATCATACGAGGGTTGGAACTTTAATAGTGGCAACTATTTATTTACAAGGAATACAAAAGTGATTCATGTCACCATGTTTTACAGTCCTTCAATATATTCGCCAGCATTGTGTACAACCCGTTTCCAGCGATGTGGAAGTCGCAGAATACCTGTAGCAGCACCTGTTTTGTTTATAGTTTGAATGGACCGGTCTACTGCCACAAGAATCTCAGGAACAGTTTGGAAGCGAGTGCCACGAAGTGGTTCCTTGATCTTAAGAATTAAGTCATAGTCACAAGGGCTTAGATCTGGGGAGTATGGTGGATGGTAAAGCACTTCCCAGCCCCATCACTTGAACAAATCAGTCACAGCTTGTGCTGCATGCAGCCGAGCATTGTTATGCAAAATGAGAGGAGCGTTCTGCAGAAAGTGTCGCCATTTTTTTCTCAAAGCTGGTTGGAGATTGTGCACCAAAAATGAGCAGTAATGCTGCGCAGTGAAGGTATGCGTTAGGTTGACACCATCACAGTCGTACACGACAATCACCATAACTTTCACATTGCTGGGGTTCTGATGAAAATTTGAACGTCGTGGTGACCCATGATGACGGCATTCGTTTGATTGGCGTTTCAGTTCTGGCTGGTATGATCGGGCCCAAGTCTCATCCAGTGTAATGATAACGGCGTAAAAAAGCATCTCCTTCACGCTCATAGCGCTCTAGGTGGGTTCGGGCAGCATCGTATTGTAGCCATTTCTGCATTTCTGTCAATGGATGTGGAAACCATCGTGAAGCAATTTTTCTCATGGACAGGTGTTCCTTCAGAATGTGCAGCATGGTCGTATGCGCTAATCCTGTTTGTCCGGCCAGCTGACGAATCGTTTGGCGGCAATCACTGTCCATTAGTGCGGCAACAGCTTGCACGTCTGCATCGCTGACACTCGGACGACCTGGCCACAGCATGTCTGCCACGTTTTGGCATCCTTCATTGAATGCTTTCACCCATCTTGCTACGGTTCTGTAAGGCAATGCAGATTCCCCGCAAGCCTCTTGAAGCCCTTGATGACACTGTTGTTCTATACGACCTCTGGCACATTAAATTTTTGTCCAACATCGTTGTTCTTGTTTTGAAAACATCCTGACAACACTTACTTTAGACCGCGAGCTAATACAAGGATCCGTTCTTCGTGTCACTCCGCATGCGCGTGACGTAGGCAGGACGAGTCTTTTTGCTGAGAGGTAAGGTAGGTATGTAGCTTACATGTGGTATACGTGATATTCTTTGGTTTTATTGCGTAGCGTTTTTTCAGCTGTGTTGCCACTATTAAAGTTCCAACCCTCATATAAGGTCTGGTAAACTCACAAATGTGCCCTGGCTGACAAAACTGGTGACCACCTCTACAGTTGCTCTTATTTAATGACACTGTAGGTAGTAATTCTGCAGATGTTAATGTGTCTGCTTGACAGAGACTAATGGTTGATAAACGAAGGTCCAGGGAAGGATTTAAGGGGGGAGAAAGCAACATATCAGTAAATTGGAGATGTTATCATACATACTGATTTTCAGCTTTCATAACTTTTGGGTAGTTTCTTTGAGAAATATATGTTGTTTATAATTATTGAAATTATTATAATTTTTTTAATATTTATGGTATTACTTTATGCCTTCCAATGTAATTAAAGAAAAAATTCTCTTAGATTTGCTTCGGAGGTTGTCAAGATCTCAGAATACAGTATTTTGTGGCCGAATACTGTTGTTCCTAGCTCACATATTTCCTCTTTCTGAGCGCTCAGGTAAATAATTTTATATTATTTGTAATAAAAATTTGATATTTTGTCTTGATTTTTTATATATATTTAATAAACTTTTGTGTATAAAATTGCAGTGCATGAACAAGTGCTCTGCTTCCTGTTCGCTAATGCCTGCCAAACCCCGAAAACACGTTTAGCATGTTCTTGCTAATACCTTATTCTTTAAAATGAGATTTATTCCATTGGATTAAATGCACCTGTAACAAATACAATATTGTAAAAGAGAACATTTTCCTTAAAATCTATGATATCCAGATTATGTCCCAGAAGTAGACTTTTCAAACTATTAGGATATATAGGTTTAGTGTCTAGTTTAACACTTCTGTGATAGATACAGTAGTGCCTGATTTTCATATACTCACTAGCAAATGAAAAAGCACTGCAGTATTCGCATTATAGAGATAAATTAATGCCAATTAGCAATGGGTAAATTCAATTTCTCTCCTACTCAAGATACTTCCTGTTGCTAAGTTCATAAGCATGATTCATTGAGTCACTGTAAAATTGATGAGCTCTATCAGTGGTTAGTTTATACATTACAAAGCATGCTTTACGCATGCGCATTTGATCCCCTCCCCACCCGCACATAATAAAGCATATGGAGTCGGATTCTTAATATCACTTCAGCACTAAATAAAATACTTGTTATTGAAGAAACAATCATTTTAGCATAAATTTGTATGATCAGTAATTTGGCTCCGTAGATGCATATCTGCTTGGCACACATCTCAATCCGAAACATTCTAAATAGATACATCTCTGATTTTACACCTACTAATATTGTATATCCCTGATGCCAAACTGGCGAATCATTATTTATTATATTTTGCTTTCATCACTGCATGTTTATCAATACATGACAACTTGAGTAAGGACTCGTGTAGTGATACCTAAACATTTTTTTTTTTTTTTTTTTTTTTTTTTATTAGTAAGTGAATAAGAGTATGGAAACTTTTTATGTTGACATTACGCTTGGCAGTTATTATAGATTTAAGTTGAATGTGTAAAGAAATGTTGATGAGAAAAATTTAATAAAAATTTTTTCCATATACTAAAAATAGATTTTGTTAATGATACTTATAGGCCAAAAGATTAAATTTAGGGATATTTGAATTAAGAATAACAGATTTGTTATTCACATAAACCCAGAACCAGCACCAGGGCTTGTATGGCTGCACTGGGCGGCAGAATTTAGGAAAAACAAAAGGAGGCGCGCGAGAAATAGACATAAGTATAATAAATAACTAATACAATTCAGGCTTAATTGTCACAGTGTACGATAGAAGCAAGATAAAATTTAGCGGAACAGCTTGTCTTTCGTTGCCAATCTCATGATACATAGCCAAATATGTATAGTGAATGACAGCTAAATTTTATGATGATAGCCGTAAATTTTAAAGGTTTTTGGATATCACAAACCAAAGGTGAGATTTTCCAGTTAACGCATTCTGTAAAGAAATGTGATGTGATAAATATAAAAGTTTTTCATTGTGATGACAATGCTCCTCAATCGTCAATAAATTAATGCAGGGGGAATCTGTAGTATAGTTCTAGATCCAGAAAATATGGCTACCTATAGTGAAGAAAGTGACAGAGAGGTTATTGAAAACGGAAAAATTTTGATTGATAAGTTTGTTGAAATTCTCGACACGGCAATTACAGGACTTCAACAATATAACTGAACAAGAAATTATGTCTGTCTACAGAATTAAAGAGAAAGTATTAGCACAAAAAAAAAAAAAAAAGCAATTTAAGAAACTTCCATTGAAAGTAATGTTTAATAAAGTAAACATATAAATATTAAGCTTTTTTTTTTTTTGTAAGTTTTGATACCCTTTAGATCATAAATGCTACATTATTTCATGAATCGCAGTTTCATATTTTTAATTTTATAATATCTGCATGCCATCTTAATAGATTTAAACTAATAATCTAATATCCAGAAAAATCCCAAATCCGGAATTGCAGGAGTCCCGACGAGTCTGGATCTCAGATGTTGTACAGTAATTATTTTGATTGCAACGTGCTTGCGCTCTTGATATAATTTTATCTATAATTTACTATCTTTGATTATTTTTTCTGTCTCATCTAATATCTGTACTGGTAATTTAGCTTTATCAGTACATAAGGCAATTATGTACTGATAAAGCTAGAAACATAATCCCTTGTTAAAATAAGAAAACAAAGCAAAAAAAAAAAAAAAAAAAAAAAAAAAAAAAAAAAAAAAAAAATCAGAATTTTCAAAATTTTAATAGTAAAACCATATTATAAACAATATAATCACAGAGTATGATTTGAGAGTTTAGACTTTTGACTGCAGAATTGTTTTAAAAACACATCAAAGCAGTTTTATAAAATAAATGCTTTGAAACCTTAAACTGCTTTTGTTTTCAAAAAATGTCAGTTTTATATTTTGGGGGAAAATAAAATCATGCATTTAGCAATAGTGTAAGAGCAATATTATCATTCTCATAAAAACAAGAAAATTGTTCAAGATAATGTCAGGTGAACTTATCAAGAAAACATACTGGTGAACTATTGAACAGACAAACTGAATTTTATGTTTTAGAAAGATATTGAATTTTGTTGCTTTTAGATCACATGAAAATATTTTAGTACTCTTTTAAGCAATTAAATTAAATTTTTTCTCAAGCAGTCATAAGTTACCATCATTTATATTGTTGCAGAAAATTTCCCATGATTCCAGTTTTAATGAATTAACCTAAATTACTTTTCTGTGCTAATTTCTTTTTAATATCTTGAAGCACATTGTAGGACAATTAACATTTTCATTTGGCATGCTTATTACAATTAATAAACCAGTAACATTTAATTAGATTTAGTATCGTCAGTATTTCACAGATAGGTATTCTGAAGGAGTATTTTTGATAATTTATTAGGCAGAAAAGAAGCATAAATTGGCAGAAATGTTTATAATAATATATATGGTATATTTTTATAATTATTAAAGATTGTATTAAAGAATATTCATATATAAAAATTCTCTATTTGTGTAAGCAATTATTATTAAAGGAATATTTTGATGTAGTACTTTAACCCATTAACCGCCAAAACTACAAGGAATGTTTCTTTTCTCATAAAAATAATAACAATATTAAATTAAGCATTTATAACATAAATTTACATTGAAAATTTAAAAAATGCTCTTACCTGTGGAAAACGTGAGTATTGCGTTCATGCAACGTCAGCGGAATAAGACTACAGATGTTTAGTGAGTAGGATTGTACTCGTGTGATGTTTCTTTTGAGTAGAGCGCAGGATTACTTTTTAGCTGTATAACATTTTATAAATCTACAAATCACTTTACTTGTAATTAATTTAATATTAAATATACATTGTATTTCTTTTAAAAATACAGATTATTTCAATTGAAAGATTCAAGCATGAAAAACTTGATTACAATCACGATGTAAAGCTACATTACATACTTTGCATCTATAAACAGTCTGGCTATGGTACTCTTTACAACAAAGTCTTTTGTTATCAACGGACTTTACGATAAAATGTCTACTATCTCCATGCAGTGGTTTTTGGATGCTGAATTTTTACTAGGTCTTCCTGTTGCTGATCTATTTCTGGCTAATTCTACACTCTCAATAGGAGTCTGCAAACGTGATATCAATTCTCATACAACAGGAACAGAAATGTCCTTATCAAAAGACCAATACACTTTTTCTTGAGGTAAAGAATAATATCCTGTAAGCAATAATATTCCAATAAATCTTCTCATATAGGCTTCAGATGCAATAAATTCTGTTTTATTTATTTATTTATTTTATTATTATTATTATTATTATTTAATTTTTATTTTTTTGCTGAGCGTATATATTTGTCTGTTCAGCGAGAAAAGAGTAAATATCTAAACGAAAATCGAAAATCTATGCACTAGTTTTACCTTGTATTTTGTCTTTTATAATTTCTCTTCTATCTCTTTCTTCATGTTCTTCCTGAGACATAACTAACAGTTCCTTTTTTATCCACTTCAAGATTTCAATCTTCTGCTTTTTAAACTTTTTAGTACGACTATAACTGCTTTTAGAAGGCTAAAACTTACTTCTTACATGGATTTCAACTTCCCCAGCAGTATCATTTGGTAAAATATCATTATCATTATTTAAAACATTGCCCTTTCTTTCTTCTTCGTCACTAGTTTCTACAATTTCTGGGGGAATAACAACAATATCAGTTTCATTCTGGTCATTATTAACATTATCATAATCTATTTCTTCATCAAAAAATCTTTGAAGGGCTTCTCTTAACGTAAGATACCTCGTTCTAGATATTTTTGAACAACCAGAACATCGAAAGGAATGAGTAAAAAAGGAGATTGACTACCCGTTTCCTGCTGACATTGCGTCAGCGCAACACCTGTTTTCCCTTGCTTCCCAACACAAATATAAACATCTGACTGATGTAATGTTCTGATAAACGGTAACCTTGACTTAAAAAAATAGATCTCTCATAAAGACGGCGATTCTTTCGTTAAATATTTTCAGCAAAAATATCCGGTCGAAAATTTTGCTTAAAGTATGAGATTAATTATTATAAACAAATGATTGTTGAAGGCAAATATTTTTTACAGAAATAATCTTCATAATATTCCCTACACAAAATCATCTGCTGGTATAAAATATCTTAGGTAGTTATATTTATATACGCATTTATTTTGACCGTTGCGTCAACGCAACACCAGCGGCTAATGGGTTAAAGGTATCAGACTTTATGTATAGTCTTATATCTTGAAAGTGCAATTAAAAAATGTTTGCTTATTCTTTTTGTTCTTTTTAAAGGTTTAAATATCATAAGCGAGTTTAATCTTGAAAATACTACTGTATATACCACAAATGATGAAATGTTCAGTGATTTGAATTCTGAAAAGGGGGATATTCCTGAAGAAGGAGAAATTCCATCAAACAGTCAAAGGTAAAATATATGTGCATCTTGAGATATAATTGGTATAAAATCATTAAAAAATTTTTTATATAATGTTTAATTAAAATTTTTTTGATACTCTTCTGTTGTCGGGACCAGATTCAGAAATGTATGAAATGTATGTATTCAGAAATGCTGTATGTGTGCATGTGTTTATTCATGTATACATATATATGTGTGCATACACATACACATATATGCACATACATACACACATGCATACATACATATATTTCTTAATTTGGTCAATAACAGAAGAGTACTTTTTTTATATATATATATATATATATTTGAACTTTTTCATTTTTATTTTATTTATTTATTTTTAGTGTTCAGTTCTAATTTGAAGTTTTCAGGTTATAAATTTTTTAATAATTATTTCAGATTTCATTGCTTTAAAGAGAACATTATAAAATTTAATGAAGTACATTATGATACCTTTTCGCAATAATATGTTTTCTTTAAGTCATTTCAACTTGTATGTTTTAGACTGTGTAGCCGTTTTATACAGTAATTTCGTTTTAATTGAATTTTATATTATGTGAAAGTATTTCATATCATGTTAAAATTTCATGTTTGATATTTTTATAGTATATTGTCTATTAGAATTATTTTTAGCAAATGTAAATGAATTTAAATTTTTGAACTTCATCAGAATTTAAAAGCTATTTACTTAACAGTTATTTAATGCTCTCTACTTAATTTAAATTGAATTACTTAACACTTAAATAGTATGCCTGTTTCTTACTATTTTTTATGTTACACTTATTTTATGAATAACTAATTGTTTGTTTTAGAGTTTATAATTGTTAATTGTTTGTTTGATAATAAATTAGAAAAATTAGAAATGCATTGGATGTTTCATTTCTGAAACTGATTTTGTCCAGTTTTAAAATTCAAGTTGCTGTGCTTTTGATTATTTGAATTTTTTAAAAATATAGCAGAGTAGTTACGCCTTTGTCCTGTTTTAAACTGATTCAGACTTGTCCCAAAGTATGTGCAATATTGATAAAAGATCTATACTGTCTTTTCAAGGATTCTGTTTTGGTTGAGCATGCTTTAAAATTTGTTATTAATTAAATATCTAAAATTGTGTTGGCATGTATTTTAATTTAATTTTTCTTCTAATAATAGTAGGCTTTTATCCATTTAGAGAGCATTATAAGCTCTGGTGAATTTTGGCATGCCTTTAGTTTATAATAGAAAGTTGTAGTAAATGCAGTGGAAAGAGAAATGTTTAATTTCTAAAGAAAAAGAGAAACATTTGAAATTTTATAATGGTTTTTATAAATTTTCAATGTTTTCTTTCATGGCATGGCAAATGCTTCTGTTATAAAAAACTCAATCTATGCTTGTTTCACTACTGTATGGTTTTTGGCCATGCGGCTCTTTATAAATAGATAGCTGTCACATCCTGCATAACTATAAAATGCTCACACTTATAATAGGCTCACTGTTATTTCATCTTTATTTGCTCACATTAAGAATCTGGTGCAGTGTGCTGTCAATTTTTCAGATGCAGATTATTTGGTTTATGCATTATCACAGATGCAGATTATTTGGTCATGCATGGTAATGCCACATATCCGCACTGAACACTATGTGTGAGCATATGTAAAAGGCGAATATGCGCAAGGTTGAACATGCTCTAAAAACTGCTGAATTCTGTCTTTAGGTTTAATTTTAACAATTTCCTCATGCAATTCATTTTGCATGTGCGTAGTCAAAAATGTTGTTTTGGCTGATCATTGGGATTTTCTTGTTTCATACACATTTTTTTCGTATTTGTGCATAAATATCGATTGGGAAAACATTGAATGTTTCAATGGTGATTTGGCTCAGCTGGGCAGCTCAATGCACAAGTGATACAGATATTGTTTAAAATCTCAAAAGAACAGAGGAGGCAGAGAATGCTACTGAAAATACAAATGAAGAAGCTACTGACAAGACAGCAGAGATGTTTATTGACACTCTATTGGGCTTCATTGACCAAAGGAGATTCGAATATAGTGATAAAATAACACTTTGCAAAATGCACAGTTAAATTTGAGAAATATTTAAACATTCTCAAAAACAAAGCAAAATTACTGATTTTTTAAGAAATAAACACATGCAATAAGCATGGAAATTGATAGTTAGTATTATCTGCATTTTTCAGTTATTTTGTGTCCTCCTTTCCCAGCATTAACCCAGGTAATCGTGAGTACACTGTATTTATGTTGCAAGCTGCCTTTGTCTTTCAAGATTTCATGGAACTGAAATAGTAGTACCACTCAGATAGAACCAAGCAGCTGTGGATTGAATGTGGGCGAAATTAGATTAGAGAGTGCACATATGCTGTATCACAAAGAATTTGCACATTGAGAATTTATGACGTGTAAAACTTTTTGAATTTTTCTCTCTCCAGATACCATTATTGTGTTTCTGTAACTCTTTCCATTAGAATATGAGTTACACCAAAATCCTTAGGTCTTCATGTGGAACCATCCTGTGTTTGTAAATTATTTTTTATACTTTTTATTACAGAAACTTAATTTTGCCTAATTTTTTAATATCTTATTAAGAGCAAAATATCATTTTAATTTACCTTGATTAAAATTTAAATTTTACTAAAGTTAATCAGTAATATTTTTATTTTGGAAACACAGTAATGCCGCATAATGTGATCAGATTTGTTCATAGCTATTTTGATAACATTAACCAAGTGATAACAGTAACAATGAAAAAAAAAATATCCTTCAAAACAGCAATGGAATTTAACTAATTTAATATAAATGCAAGAAGAAATATGTAAGTACTTTCACTGAATTTGTATTAGGAAAATGTAAAAATTTGTTTATGAATTGCTCATAATGCCTTCAACACATCAGTTAATTTATGAACTGTTCATAACATTTATAAAAATTATTTGATTTATGCTGTATCCCCAATTTTAATATTCTGTGAGCATCGCTCATTCACTGGAAGTGAACATGCAAATATAAAATTTTAAAATGGGGAAAATAGTAACCTTAGTCTAGTGTACATGTTTCCAAGAGAATTATTACTATTATTATTAGTAGTAGTAATAGTTTTAAGGATCAGGAGAAAAATTTGGCTGAATTCCCCCCCCCCTCTCCTGAAAAAGAAAGATGTATTTCATCATCCTCTGATTCGATAGAGTTATTCAAAATCTAAACCAGATTTAAGTTGTCCCCTCCCGATTTAAAGTGGTTCTCTAAAACCAAAGCAAGCTATTTAGCAATATAATTCCTTACTTGGCAACATTTTTGACTTATTTGGATATTTTGTCCCTTATTTTGTAACTTTACTTCAGTTAAAAAAAATTCTTTGATAATATTAACTGAATCATTAATCACAATAAGCAACATATTTTCCATTTTCTTATGTACTAATGAGTGGGACTTCTGCAGGTACTTATGTATTAATGCTACTACCTTATTAAAAATCGCCAAATTTTTAGAGTGTACCAAACTCTGGCAACCATGTGCGTAGCCATTTTTCTGGGAACCATGCTGATAATAATTTTTCAGTCAAGCAATGCAACCATTTTTGTATGCGTTCTTTTTTGTTGTAGTCTAAGTTCCAACAATTTTTTAAACAAATCATGATATTTTTTGCCTTAAACTTAGTTTTAAAATTGGCTTGTAAAATTTGCCCGCGATGAAAATAACTGCAGTAAAATTTCTGCAAGAATACAGAATTCCTAGATATATGCTGTTGTAGAGGTTTGCACGAAGCCGAGTCTTCTCAATTCTCTGATGTCTTTTAACGAAAACAGATGGCTGTATACTTTTGGAGAACAATAGCACAAAAATATTACAGAAGTATTCGAAGACGAATGTGTTTCATTTTTTAATGTATTACATAATCCTTATTTAATAATTAAGATTTATATTTTAAATTGCTAGAGTGTGTTTTCTTTTCATATGTTGATAATGCTTACCAACTTACGATAAACATCGATAGTTTTGGAATCTTTATATAAAAAGGGGGGGATCATAAAAACCACCAACTTGCACCTGATAAAGTAACTTTTACACTTTCATCTGTAAAAAATTGCCAAGGTGGTTGGCATATAATACATAAGTACCCTATGGCATATAATACATAAGTACCCTATAAATACATAAGTACCCTATGGCAATTTGATAACAATATCCAAATGATAACGTTAATCGGGATCACATTAAGTGGCATCTGTTGTAGTTTCTATTTTGTAAGATAATATTCAATTATTTTGCATAGTCTATGATGGACTTCTAATGCAAAATAATTGCATTGGAAGTTCGTGAAATATCTTTAATCTTCATAAACACATCTGTAAACATATAAAATAACTATTGAAGCTGATATTGCATGTTTCATTTTAATTTGTATTTTTCTTCCTTTCATGCATAACATTCTGAAAAAGTATTTTATAAAAAATTTGTTTTAATGACTTTTTTTTTTTTTTTTTTTTTGTTTTGTTTTGTTTCAGTCATATTAATGTTGATATAAGCTTATATAGAAAGTTTTGGTCTCTTCAAGACTTTTTTCGCAATCCTAATACCTGTTACAACAAAATTCAATGGAGGCAGTTTACAAATGTAAGATAATTTCTATTTTAAATATATGTATATATACAGTGCATTCTTATAAATTCAAAATCATAAAAACCAGTAAAATTGTTTGAATTATCAAATATATGCTAGAATAATCTTTCTTTTATTTGAGTTAACTTACATTTCATGGTATATATTTACGTACACATACACTGCTGCTAAAAATGAGCAAATAAAAAAAAACTAACCATATAAAATTTATTATTTGGAAATTAAAGTGTAAAATTTTCATATTTGGTATAGTTTTTATCATCGATAACAAATATGGAATTTGTTTTTGCAAAAAAATGTTTCCAGAGTCAAAACAGAAGTATTTAAAATAAAGCACTTCTGACTTCAACTTTAAATTTCATTCCAAGAAACATTTCAAGAGATGTGAATTAGGTAAATTAGAAGTTGTGTTAAAGAGAGCATTTGAATGATGAAGTGTATTGGCAGTTTGTAAGAATAGCCAAGTTTGTGCAAGACTGATGCTATGACAGAACATGTTCATCATGATGTTATAAAGCAACAGTGCAAACATTACCAGCATCAACAAACTATTTCTTGAAGACATGCATCTGAATGCTGTAAGACTATTTCTGTAACAGTTATTCACTTTCTGTGTGAAAAGATGGTGTAGAAAGACTAAGTAGAGGAAGAAAGTGAAAGATGCAGTAGAACGTTAATAGCTTTATAGTTGGCTTCAGATGTTTTTGCAGAAAGACATGTATCACAGCAAATTGTTCTGTATATGTCTTGTGAAGTTGACTTTTTACGAGGAGAAATGTTATCTTTGTATGTTTGTTTCTGTTTCATGTCATAATTCGGTTGAACTCTGCCCCTGAGCATCTAAAATAGAACCATTGCCAATGGGATTAACTACTTATTTGTTATGAATGAGTGTTCAGAATGATTCTGCTAGAGTTCTGATTTGGAACTTGGACTTGATACAAAGTGGCAAATAGCACAGAAAGAGACCATTACGATAGAAGCAGTCTTCTAGTATGGGCAGGAGTAGCAATGAATGCGCAGAAAAAGCTACATGTTTTTTGCTGGTGATTCAGCAATAGATGTTTGTTATTGAGATAAAATATTATAGCCTATTATTCATACGCTTGTTGCTGCAATGGGTATAGTGATGTAATATTTGTGGAAATTAATATATGATTGTATAGAGTTTGTTGTCTTTAGAGATATATGGAGAGTGAAATAATTTTACCTTCACAGTGATCTCCAAAATCATGCCACTTGTTTCTAATAAAGTATATACATATTAGAAAGTATATTAGAAAGATAGACTGTAGGTTGCAATGTATCATTAAGTACTCTCCAGAATTCTGATATGTCTTTCTATGAAAATGATATTACAGCCATGACAAACAATCATCAATAGTATTAAAGGCATGAGTCACTGTTATTGAGTTGTGCATTTTAGCTAAAGTATATCTTTCCTATTATCTAATGAATATTCTTATGGAATGTCTTTAAATACCAGTCTTACCAGTCAGAATGCCATAATTGGCATTTATTTTTAGTATGTGCTTCTCTCGATAAAAGCGTGTTTTGTAAAGAAGAGAAGAATCATGTCAAAGTAAAACATAAAATTAGGCTAAGCCTAAGCCTAATTTTATTAGCCTTGTGTTTGTCTAAAATTAACCTTGTGTTTGGCATAGATTTTAGTTAAGATTCTATCAGTTTGAGGGCAAATGAGTACAGGTCTCCCTTCATCAGCAGCAAAGAAATCTGCAACAAAGGGAAAGGTTATGATTGCATTTATACCCAAAAGGAGCAAAGAGAATGAGAAGGTAGTGTCACATATCTGCGGAAATAATAACGAAAATTGAAAAATTAAGTTTGTAAAATTTTAAAATGCATTAGGAAGGACTGGATTGGACTTAAAGTCAAGAACTAAAAGAGCTAAATCTTTGTGAAATTAAAAAGAAAGAAAGAAAGAAACCAAGAAAATCCAATTCACCAATAAAAAATCTTTTTGGATTATGACCCAATTCAAAATTAGGATAAAATTCCCAACTATGATTAGCTATCGAAGATTTGCTAATTTTGCCTTTTTGACATAAGATTCATGTTCCTTGATACGAAACTTCAACACTCTTTTAGTTTGGCCAATGCATCTCAAACTACCCTGACAAGATTTGCTGTAAGTTCTTAAATAATTAAAATTTTTATTAAATTTTATTGATAGGTGTTGCTTTGCCTAATTTTTGCTTATTTTGTAAACTTTTCTAAAATCCAAAATATATAGTGACTTTTGGCATCCTTTAAGAAAGGATGATAATTTCAGAGAATAAAAATAAAGATGGATGTTGTATATAATCACTTTAAGACAGCTTTATTCACAAGAAGCAAAATCTTCTGTGGGTAGTTGTTTTAGCAAGGATTTATTGTAGGTTTGGTTTTATTTAAAATGTTTTGTTTATTACTTATTTTTTTTAACATTAATGTACTTAAATTTATGTAATTATTTCATATATACATGATCAGAAATGTTTCAGATTTAAACTTCATTAAATGCTAATTTTGGTGCTGAGTAGAATATTTAATTACTTTAAAAAGAAATACAATTATATAACTGGAACTTATTTTTATTGAGACATTTTCCTTGGAAATCAAATTTCTGTTTCAAGTTCTTGGGAAAATACAGTTCTTTACTCTTGTAGGCGACATAGTACTTTATCCAGACCATGAAGTCAAGTAACAACTCTGCTAATAATGGTTTTGAAATTGAAAGCCTTTAAAATTTATGGTTTAGTTAATGGTTTTCATATATTGTAAGGTTGTACTTGAAAACAAGAATTAACTTTTTTAAAAGGAAAATTATTGATTTTTTTTAACTGAATGATTAAATTTTTAAAAATATTCTTATTATAAATATGATGATTTAGTTAAGATGGCATTATTGTTGACAATGGCATAAAGATGTAGTCGTGACAGCTTGAAATTTTTTACCTCCTACCAACCTGTATACCTTAATAAGGGAGGTGATGTTTTGGTCTAAAAATACAATTGTGAATTTTCAGTGAATAAGCATGAAATAGAGTCCCCACAACACTTTAAAAAAAAAAAAAAAATTAGAATGATATCTGTCTGTTTGTCTATGTGACTATCTGTTTGTATGCAACTGTTTTTTGTCCATGATAACTCTTACATGAAATTTCCAAAAATTTCTGTTGTTTCCTACATTTATATAAAGAGTTGATTAGATTTGGGTTAAAATTTAGACAACTTGAAATGGTGCTTTACTGGAAGCTCATAAGTCTTTAATGGACAACTGAAAGTGGTACTTTACTTGAAGTTTATAACAGTATTTAGTGGCTCATCAGCAGCCGAGCGGTAAAGACGCTCAACACTAGTAGTTCGGTCCAAGGTTTGAATCCCGCAAACGGGCTGGCTGCATGGGCGTTTTCGTGGTTTTCCCCATGTGTAACATGTATACGAACCAGTTTCCCTTAGAAAGTCCTCCACGAAGGCATCCCTCCCTTTAGGCAGATAGCCCTCGTGTAATTTGCCATAACTGAGTAATCCTAATCCTTATAACAGTATTTAATGAAAAATTATATTAAAATATAATTCATACTTTTCAATTTTAGTATTTAGTATCAATGGGAACAAAGTGTTAGATTTTAGCTAAAATTAATAAACTGTAAATGGTATTTTACTTGAAGCTCTGATAAGCCTTCTGTAAAAAAATGCATTATGAGATAACCCTAAACTTCCCAAATTTGGTATTTAAAATAGATTTTAAATAGTGATTGAGAATAACATATTACATTTATAAGCATTAAATGTATTTTAGAATTTATGCTAAATGCAATGAGAATAAGCTCATTATGGAGCAATTAAATGTATTAGCCTCAATCCTCGTGTGTTTGTTTCACTTTTGAAATAAAATAATGCTGCTACCTTATGTTATTGCTATGTATTATTTTTGAAGAAATATAGTAAATAATAAAACATTGAATATTGAATATAAAAATAAATGTATCTATCTCAACACATAACACTCTATCAGGAATACTTTAAAATTTTTTTTAATTGTTAAATCATTGTTTTGGGAATCCAAAATACATATCATTAGGGGATATCCTTTTCATTTATGTGGTGTTTTCAAATCAAAGCATGAGAAATGATGTATACATGCACATGTATAATTATCACTGTCCTTTATATGGAATGATAAAATAATAAAAAAATAGTGTTTATAATTAATATCGAGCCATAACATTTATAAACAAATTATATTTTACTTACAAACAATCAACCGGGAGTGATAGTTTACTTAAAGCTCCTTAATATTCTTCCAATTCCATGTTAAGACATAGAATTGAGGGTAGATCATGTGCTGGAACACAACAGACTTTTCATTTTTGACATAATATTTTAATGCAGGCACAGATAACTTAGCACAAATATTTATATTGGTATTTTTACTCTTTTGGAAATATCTGAAGAAAGTAGGTGCTGCAGCAGACAGCATGTTTGCAAGCCAGAGAAAGGTGAGAAGAATGTGCAGTTTTTTAATGAAGCTTTGGCTAAGATTGACACAGTTATGGTTTTTCATTTTTATGTGGTTATTTGAATTTCAGTTTGTAAAATTTTAAATTGTTATTAGCCGGTGTATTATATAAGTACCGGCATCATCTGTGTTATGTAAGAATCTAGTGAGAAGGATTAATTTTGAAATGTTACGGCTTAATAATTTATTATAAAGAGTTATTATTTTTAGAATGGAAAAGGAAAATAAATTAAAATGAAGAGCAATTTTTTCTTGAATGTTTTTCCCTTTTTAGCATTTCAACGTATTGTCCAGGCGTGTTTTATTTCTGCCATGCTCCATATAATGATTGAAAATAGTTATTTATTTATTTATTTTTATCATATGTACTTCTTTATTGTGAAGCAAGCATATATATGATTTTATTTATCTAAAATTTGTTTTTCATAGTTTACTTCGGACATACTAGTTGCATTTGGAAGCTTTAAATCTGATGGTTCTAGTTCATCAAAATGGAAAGATGCAAAATTATCTTCACCTAATGGAGCTTGTTTTTATTTTGCCAAATATTTGACTAGTCCTAAGGTATAGTAATTTTTTCCCCAAATATTAAAATTTATAAACTTTTTCTGTTATTGCTGTTAGTGTGAGGAATTGCAATGTCCAGTTTTCTTGTAGCTTTTAGAATTGGAGCTGAGTGATAGTCATTTTCGCCGCTACGTACTTGTGCAATTCCTTATTCTTTTTCAATATCTGACCTCTCCAGTAAAGTTCAAACAGTAAGTGCAAATTCCTTTTTATTGTATTTATTAAAAAATCTCAAATAGCAATATTCATAGTATTACATGGGGTGCATTAATGTTTTAAGTTCCCAAAGATAGTATTTGAAAATAGGCGCATTTATGGTATTATTTGCTTAAGCTGTTTTATTTTATTTTAAAGTGTGCATATTTTCATTTGTATAAAAAAGAAACTTTTTCAAAATTAAATATTATTCAAGCTTCCCCCACCTAGAAAATAGTAATGAATTTGTAAGATTAAAAACACAATAAACATTCTTAATGAAACACCTTTTATACCTTAAGAAATCTTTATTTAATTTTTTAAGCACTGTTATTTACAACTATGCACACGATCTGTTTTTGTTTAAAAGAAATTAGAAAATTGCCTATATTTGACATTGCTATTGTTCACTTCATGTACACAACAATCTTAAATGTTTTCTCTTAAAAAAAAAGTCGGAGACATATACAAATTCCAATCCATAAACTTTGGTCGTATAGAACTTCATGGAATGTGAATTTTTGCATTCTATACTGCTGGGTAAAATGCCATATTTCTGAGGAAGAACACTTTCTTTTTCATAGCCAGCAAATTCAGCAGTCCCATTAAGATTCCTTACAAGAGGAAAAAAAAAGAATTCTGTCAGTTCAACACTGGTGACCACTGAATTTGAAGGTGAAAATCCCCACTCACCTGCTGGCATGTGCTTGCATACTGGGTTACTGCATAAATAAATTTTGGTTACCTAGTGCATTGCCTTATGAGTCCTTTTCAGAGAGGCAAGGGCTGTGGACAATCAAAACTGATTTTTTCAAAATTTTTTTATTATTTCATTAATTAGTGTAATTTCGTTTGTTAAATAGTACAGTTAAAAATTATAAATAAAAAAATTCTTTAAACGAGTTTATAATAGTGTAGCAGCCTGTTCATTACCCAATTATAAATAATGTTATATTTCATTGCTGACATTGGTGAGAGGATAAGATTACTGAATATTGTTTGTTTGACAGATCCTGCAAATAGTATGACTGTATGGACATTTTTGTGATTTTTCACATATGTAGTATGCCTTCAAGGCATTTTCCCTTGAAAAGTCATCTACAGAATTTTTCTTCCCTTGGCAGATAGCTCTTGAGAACTTTGCGGTAATTAAAATCAATAAATCAACCATGTCACTTCATTGTGGGTTGAATGGCTGTTTTTCTTTCCTCAGAAATTAAGCATTTGTTAAGAGTGGCTAAACCCATCAGTCATTTAGATGTTTCATCCTCAACCCACAGGAAGGGGTGAGAAAGAAACAGCTACGGCTTACATGCTTTTTCCAGGATTCAAACATCAGTTGGCAACTGCTGGTTATACTGAGCAGAGTAGTCTAATAATGGACTTGTGATTATAATTTGAAAATTTACTTTTCAAGTATAGGGCTTGACATTATTCTTTGTTTGATATATTTTGCATGCTTTGTAGCATTTTTTTAATTAATTATTTATCACATTTCAATACGTACCTAATTTGTTTTAAATGAGATTCATAGGAAAATTTGATGTATTGATCTTTTTTCATTTTAGAGAGTCATTCGTCTTAAGTGATGAGCAGCAAACATGGGTCAAAGATACCACCAAGAAAGTTTACAAAGTCAGTTTATTTTCTTTTATACTTTTAGTTTCAGAATACTTATTTTGCTATTCAAATATGTTTTATTAGCTATAACTAAAATCATTGGATTTTCTTCTGATTTAAGAATTTACATTGTAATTTTATTTAAGTATTTATTGTTAAGTGTTTATTTAAGCCAGTCATAAGTGGTGAATACTAGATTATGTTGTTAGGTACATAAAATAATTGTATATTTTTTGTTTAAAAGAGCAGTGATTGTTCTTAAAATAAAGGAAGTATAAAAAATTAAATTTGAGGTAGGAAAATGTATGGGTTCTTATCATTATTTCTTTTTAAGAGATTTAAAATATTTCATGTGCATAAAATATAAAATGTGTATATTTCTTTCTCCATAAAAAATCAAATGCTTTAATGTTAAATTTTTCAGTTATTGAACTTTTATTTCATACTTCTATGTAAATAATTTTTTAGCTTTGCAAAATGTTAAATTGGAATATTTTTCTTAAATTTAAAATAAATTTAATCAGGGTGGCTATTTACTTGTTTTAACTAGCTTAGTTGGGCTAGACTTTTTCTGTTCGGTATGTCCTAATTATTGAGAATCAATTAAAGTATTTTATGTGTAGGAGCTGTGATAAAACACTTTCTCTGAAATATTTTCATTTCTGAAATTATGTGCAGTGAAGATTTGTATAGTATTTAGCAATAATGTCATATTAGAATTTTGTTGAGAAGCTAGCTTTTTCTTTTCTCCTAATAAATCTCGTTCCTCTACCTAATAAAAGAATTATTTTTCAAAGAAAGATTTCCTTCTTCCCTGCATGATTATATGTTTGTTAAGTTTAAAACTCTTCATACGATTGGTTACTAGTGAGTATATCATATTAGAACATTAGGTACATTTGTAACACTAAGGACTTTCCTTATTATTGTTATAGCCATCACATTTTCACAATAATGTATCAGTTGTAGTGTTGATTTTGTAATCTGATGATTAAAACATATTCATATCTTTATACACAAATGTTTGTTCCTTTAAAATGTCTTCCTGTTTTGTAGATGATTTCAAATCAGCTAATCTTACATATTTATGTTTTAATGTTCGTATTTGCAAACTACGTTAGCTTATTGCCATAAATTTACTATAAACTAATAAATTTGATCCTGCAGGATTAATTGGCTGTTCAATCTTTCATTTTAATTTATGAATATAAAAAGCTACTTTTATTCAAGTTATGTTATTTATCACCAATTTCTATACTTCTTGTTATTTAATTTATAAACACATTAAAAAATAATTTAATTCTAAATAAATATACAGTCAAAAGTCGTTAATTCGGACACCCATAATCCGGAATGATCTATAATCCGGACTTCAAAGCTAAAAACTTTCTGCGCATAGGCGTGTACGCGTGCACGTAAGACCTCTTACGACCGCGCATTTGCGTGTGCGCAAGCGCAGAATACGTTTTCGCGTGTGCGTTTTATGTATAACAAACGGTATAAGCTAAAATTATCTAATTATCTATTTCAGTTAATGTTGATGATTGCGTTGATCCTTAATTTTCGAATTGGATCCGACTTATTATTTTTTGCAGACTGTAAGAGCAATACTATAAAAGTAAACTTGAACTTTCGATTATGTCAAATAGAATTTCCGAATCTGGAGCTCCCAAAGGATCGTACAAAACGAAAGTATGTTTCAATGTCCATCAAGCAAAAAGTGGAATTGCTGCAAAAAATGGATAAAGACATGAAGAATGTGACAGAGAGGTTAGTGAAAACGAAAAAATTTCGATTGACAAGTTAGTCGGTATTCTTGGCACAGCAATCAACAGGACTTGAACAGCGGAACTTTGTAACTGAACAAAAAATTATGTCTGTTTATAGAATTAAAGAGAAAGTATTATCACATAAAACGAAGCAACTTAAACAACTTGCATTGAAAGAAATGTTTAATAAAGTAAACAAATAAATATTAAGCTTTTTTTTGTAAATTTTTGATACCCTTTAGATCATAATTGTTTTTTATTTCATAAATTACGGTTTCATATTTTTAATTTTAGAATTTCTGTATGCCATCTTACGCGATTTAAACTGATGATCTATAATCCGGAAAAATCGATAATCCGGAATCGCCGAAATCCCAACGAGTCTGGATTAACGACTTTTGACTGTATTTATGTATTTTTTTGTGATTTGGAAAAGGGGGATGATGATCTAAGGATGATGAAAGGAGTGTCATGGGGCAAAACAGGTTGAGAAACATTAGTGTATATATATTGTATATCATTCATCATATCTGATTAGAAAAGTAGAATAAATTTTGAATTTTATTAATGGATTTAATATATTTAATTTAAATGAAAGTAGATGCAGAATTTGATGTGTGGAATTTGGTTTATTTCTTTTTGCTTGTTTTATTTTAATAGCTTTTGGAAGAAACACCTCCAGATGGACTAGCTTTTGCTGAACACATTGAGGTAAGGAAAATTTAATAATACATTTCAGAATTATGTTATTAACCTCTGCAGGAAAAGCAAATATAAGCACAAATAAAATTGTTAAGCATCCATCAAAAATTGAAAAGGATTTTATCTGATGTATATAAATAAGGAAATTCATTTGTATGATTTTAGTTCTGTATTATGCATCCTGTCAGGCCTGTGCCTGATTAGTATTATGCATCCTGTCATTCTTGTTTCAAGAAATTAATACAAAAAAATTTGAAAACCTTTGGAAAATGTAAAGTTTTGAGTCAGGTCTTTTTGCTTAAATAGATAATTATTTTTAACCTTGTTTAAGTAATGTATTTGTGAAATAAAATTCCATGCTTATAGTCCTCATTTCAGAAGCAAATAAGATTTATTGCAATTTGTATTGTAATTAAGTGTCGATAATACAAATACTATAATATGAAATACAAATATGATATGTAACACAAATCTGTAATATGAAATCCTTACCCTGCAGAGCTAAATCATTTGGGAAGAAAATAATCTATAATTCAAATTAAATTATTTACATTGCAAATCATAAAAATGTGAAAGTTAAATGTTTTTATTTAATATCTTGAAGTTCGCATTGACTCATTCAAGACTTTCTCATTACTGTCTTATTGCAATTGTGTTATTTTATTCAGTATTCATCCATTTGTTCCTTAATTTTATATTCATTGTATTTATTCTTTATTTTGAATTTATTAAAGTTTAAGTCAGCATCCTCAAAAGTTTCATGTTGTCTGTTTCATTTATCTGTTTGTATAGAAAATATTGCAGAGAGAAGAATATTGGAATGCTTGGAAAAATGAAGGTTGCCCTGATTTTAAACAAGTATCTGAAAAAATAGATTTAGATAAAAGGTAAATTTATTCCTCTTAATTTTATTCATTTTGAAGAACTTTTAGGACGTGTTATAGGCATTAAATCTGTTATACTTTTCTTTGGTTAAAGGTTATGTATCTGTTTAAATTGTTGTCAGGATTTCTTTTTTTTATTTCCTGCATAAAATTTTTGATAAGAGAAATACTTAAAATCTCTGGCAAAACATTGTTGTTCATTTGACTGTCTAATTCAATGAATGTTTTTAGGAATATTTCAAAAAAGAAAAAGGGAATTTTTTCTATATCTCCCATTGTAATTGGTTCATTGACAAAATTCAAACTGTGTTTTTCATGTCTTGAAAGCACGAGTTAAAATATATATTAGAAGAATATATATTAGATTTATATATAGCATTGTTCTAACATACATATTTTGACACAAAATCAGACTTTTTATGAAATACCATTCCAGTTTTATTTCATATTTTGAGTCTACATCTCAAATTATGCCTAAAAACCAATTTTTTTTTTTTTTTTAAATTTGGTCTGAAATTTAATCAGTAATTCAAAAATTTACCTTGACTCACTTTTTTTACTGTGAAGCAATTTTGTCCATGATACTGAACATCTTTAGACATCACACCTGAGCTTGTAAGATAAGCCGAACGTCACTTAATTTAAATACGTGTAAAATCTTTCCATGGTGAATAATGTAGGGAGATAATCTTTAGCTTAGATTCCAAGAACACTAAGTGACACAATAATAGCAAATGTAACGGAATCTTCATTTACACACTACTTCATTTACAAACTTGACAGTTTGAAAATTTATGCATTAACAAAACTCTGCTGTTCGTGCCTGAGAGTATAATAATGCTTTATTGTATTTGCAAATCAAATAGTAATTAATCTGTAGGGTTGTTATGATCACTGAGCGGCGCCTGAGATAACCACTGACCTGACTTTGTTGTAAAAGTCTTACAGTGTTAATAGTCATCCTGGCAAAAGGGAATATTTCTATTTCATACGTGAAAAATATAAATATAAATATCTCATTGGCATACAAGGCCTATGTATAAGCATAGATATGTTAATTACAAACATTGTCTTGTACCAGTTACATGTGATAGTTACATAAAATCATGACAGTTATATGTAGATTTAAACATTATCTGAATTCATATTTACAATACTTTTACTGAGATAATCAAAGTAAACTTGTAATTCATTTACACATTGACTGGATTTTCAATATCGTTTAAACTGCTTTACAATATTATTTTTACCAAGTACATACAAACTTGATAGTAATATGCTTACATTACAATAGTTTTGTTCTTACAATCTTGTTACTATTCTACGGGGGTGAGCTTTTTTCTAGTGTTGATTTTCAGTTGTTGTAGTATTTTGAATTGCTATTAAAATTATGCCGCAAAGATACAATTCTCAAGGGAGGGGTAGAATTTCTTAGTACCTTGTGCAGCATAGCCTGATCACCTCTATTTTAATTTTTGTCTGCTTGTTGCCGCAGGTATTCTCCACCCATTGCAGCCAGTATTCACTGCTTGGCATTTTTAAATGCAGTTTATCGGTTTGTGGGCAGTTGAAGAGGAAGTGATCTACAACACCACATTCAAACAATTCTGATGCTCGTTTGCCGAATCTTTTAAGATAAAGTGGGAAGGGACCATGGCCAGTGTAGAATTGAGTTTTTTTGCTCCACTGTATGTGTTAATTGAGCATGTAACTTTCGGAAAGAACTTGTAGGTTCTCCTCCCTGTACTTTCCCTTTTCTATCTTTTCTGCCATTCTTGTAAAAGGCTATTGAGCATGATTTTTTTAAAATAGGACTGTAGAACACTTACTGCATTTTCCAGTCTACTGGAGTCATTGGCTACTGATTTCGCAAGCACGTCCGCCGCTTCGTTGCCAGTAATACCCATATGAGCTGGAACCCAGATCGGGATAGGTCTGTCATCTGGTGGGATACTTAGAAGAATTTTCTGAATATCTTGCACCAAAGGACTTCTTGTCTTGTGCTCTCAGATGGACTCCAAACTTGAGGCAGAGTCACTATATATGTTGACCTTTATTCCTAACTGATATTTTGCCAAATTGATGGCTGATTTTAATGCAAAAAGCTCTGCCTGAAAGACGGTATTTTTGTCTGCCAGTCGTCTTCTCCAAGTTTTAACCACTTCTCCTTCTTGGAGTACATAGGTGCAGCCTGTGCCTTTCTCTGTCTCTTTGAGCCATCTGTATAAATATGTAATATTTATACAGATAATGTATAAATCAAATGTATAAATCTGTATCTGCAGGGTGTCCAAGCATGATCGGCTTGTGCTTCTCATAGTCTGTGTGGTAGAATGTTTTTTGCCACAGAGAGACATTATTTTTCAGGCACAATGTCTTTACTAATAGTGATTCTCTCTCCACTAGAAGGTCCAGTGGAGGGATACCTGCCAGCACTTGCAGTGCTGCAGTTGGGGATGTTCTATAACCTTTGCATATAATCAAAAGTTGCATTCTTTGGATGGTGAGAAGCTGCCTCCTCATATGGGCAGTAAGCTTCCTTCTCCATATGGCAGCCCCATATAATATGATCTTTTCTGAGATTGTTCTGTACCAGCTTTTGAGCTTAGTGATTGGAGTGCCCCGAAGAGGTCCTATTATTCTAACCATGGAATTACTAAGCTGATTTATTTTCTGCTTAAGCTCTTTAATGTGAGGTAACCAGGAAAGTCTATTGTTAATTATAATACCTAGATATTTAAGGTCCGTAACCTCTTTTATAGAGACTCCATTTAGCTTAATGTTGGGATTCCTATTTCGCACTCCATGCTTACATATAAACAGTTGTTTAGTTTTATCTGCTGAGATATTTAATTTGTGCTGATTTGACCAGCTTGAAAAGTATTGATTGCGTTTTGTGCCTTTAACCTAATGTCCGTGCTACCAGAAATAACCAATAAAAAGTCGTCCGCGTACGCCTGGATACCCACTCCTTGCTGTTGGTCATAGAGCGCAAAGGCTCTGTGCCGTACAAGATTCCAAAGTGTAGGTCCCAAGCAGGAATACTGGGGACAGCCTCTTTCCAACTTGATTTTGAGTACATCATTGTCCATTGTAACCTGTATCTAATGATCCTGCAAGTAGCTGCGTATAAGATTCAGGATTTCCTTTGGGCATTTGATGATGTCTAGGCATTCGACAATGTCTGGCCACCACAACGAGTCGAATGCCCCTTTGATGTCCAATGAAATAACCAATGTGTCCAAATTGTGATCTTTGTTCTGCTCTGTGTTATCTACCAGTTGTTTTAAGGCATTGTCTATGGACTTTCCTGCACAGAAGGCATATTGTTTTTTTGTTTATAGACTTGTTCCTATACATGTGGAAATTAAGGCATTGTAGAATTACTTTTTCTAAAATCTTACTGTTTGAAGGCAGTAAGCTTATAGGCCTATATGATGCCAGGCCTGACAGGTCTTTGCTCTGTTTGTGAAAGAGTGCAATTTTGGCTAGTTTCATGCTTCTAGGGAAGTGGCCGAGTAGCCAGCAGGCTCTGCATATTTTTAGAAACAAAACCTGGAAATTCTTTGTGAATTTCTTTAACAATGGTATTATCTATGCCATCGAGACCTGGTGCTTTTTCGTCTGCTAAGGCTTTGATGATATTATGAACTTTGTGTTCTGTAAGAAGAGTAATATCTCTGTTGCTGCTTTTCCAGCTTTTCCTATTAAACTTCTGCCTTATTTCTGTGTAAGTTACTAAATGAAATTCTATCTTGTCTTTAACAAAGATTGTTTCTAGGATAGTGTTTAGAGCTTCTGTTTTGCTTTTTGCATCTTGTTTTACTTTAGCGGTAAATTGTAGGGGTTGAAAAATCTTATTGGTGGCTATTTTCTGTAATGTACCATAGGTTGCTTGCATGTTACTGCAGTGCTTACGCCATGACTCTTGTTTTGCTGCCTTGATTTGTTTTTTGTATTGAGCTAGTTCCTTCCTGTAGTGTACCAACTTTAATATTTTATGTTCTTCATCATTTTCCACTTGTCTTCTCAGGGCTCTATTTTGCTTCTTCTTTCCTTGAGGTGGTTGCTCCACAACGATGTAAATGTTTTCGGCTTAATAGTTTTTTTAAGTTTGTAGGAAGCTCTTGCTGCCTGAGTTAATTTAGTTATGATTAAGTCATATGTAGTATCCAGCTCCTCTGGGGAGTCGCAGTTATCCAGTTGTTTTAAGATTTCACTCACCCATGGCATGAGGTAAAATTTTAAAGTATTGTGTCCTCCCTAGCAGGTCTTGAAACATCTTTTTGTTAGGTACATGAGTCTACTATTGATCTCATATTGAATTATACAATGATCACTCAGAGAGGGTATGCCCATTAACTCCCAGTTGTTTATGTATGTGGACACTGATGATAAGACAAATGTGACATCTGGCCAGCCTTTTGCTCTGGAAACTTGAGTTAAAATCCTGCACAGCCTACTAGACAAACAGCGAGTTGTAGCTACGTCTTGAACAACTTGCAAAATACAGAAGAAGGTTTACATAATTTTTTTATTTTACTCTCAGTTTGAACATAAAGACACAACTTATGCTATACACGAAATTTCTACCACTTGTGAATATGCTAAATTAACATACAATTGAACTTGAACATCAATTAATGTAGTCTAAGACTACATATTAAATAGAATAAGTTGCCTCATATATTTTACTGGTGCATATATAAAGCATCGGCTAGTGAAAATGCTAAAGACATAATATTATTTTTAAACAAAACCTGACTACAAGTATTAACAGCAAGATGTGATAACCAGAAGCTCTCTCAACTATAGATTCACCTTAAATACATAAACCTCACTTTAAATACATAAAAATTTAATTTGCATTCTGTTGAGGAATATAGAAAGGAGAAGTTATAGTAAAAATTTAAATCACAGTAATTGGTTAAACATAAGATACTTTATAAATATAATAACTTGGTTCATAATTTAAGCAGTCCCACTAGTGGCCAAGGGTTTAAAGACTGTTGATAATTTGACCTAGAAACCAACCAAAGCGAACAAGCTGGCTGCATGTTTTTTACGATTTTCCCCATGTGCTATGCAAATATGAGCCACTTCTCCTTAGAAGAGTCTTCCATAAAGGCATTGCTCCCCCTTAGGCAGATAGTCTCTATGTGCTTTGTCATATATGAATAACCAATTAATCAACCGCAATTTCTAAATCTAGATTTGAAACCAAGAAATTCATTGAAGCCTAGTATAATTATCCAGTCGGGGGGATATGATAGGTACAGTCTCTGAATTGATTTGTACTTTTTGGCAGAGTTGACAGAAAGAGTAGGTCAGGTCTGAAAATTTTGATTGATATAAAGTTAGCAAAGTCTCCACAGAAAATAACTTTTGAAATTTTTGAAATTATTAAAAATTTTAATAACTTCTAATTTAACAGAAATAATAATTTGAAAATAAATATAACAATGATTAGAATTCAAGTCTTGACAAATCACAACTGTCTTTTAAAAATGTGTTTCTTTTAAATCCTGATTTTGTATGAAAATGTATTTTTCTTTTTTTTTTAAAAAAAAGAGTCTTTGATCATAATTAGGGGCCCTTTTAAGCATAAACAACGGATTATTTAAGAATTTATTATGCAATAAAGGCCATGAAGTATCTTTGAATATAAAACATCTTCAAAATTATTTTATTTTTTTCCTTTTCTACACAGAGAAGAGAAGATAAAAATCTAATATTCTAGTAAATTTTTTTAAATGTAGGTTTTAGTAATATTTTTGACGTACTCAGAAATATTGAATGCATATTTGATGCTCAATTTTGACATCAACAAAATAAGCTTTGTTGCATATAAAAAGCAGCTAAGTAAAATAGATGGTGATAAAATGGCCAACGTAAAAATTTATTTTTATGAAAGAAGGGGGGGGGAGGTCTTTAAATCTTAACGTTCCTTATAAACTTAAAAAATAGCTTTTTATGTATTATTAATAAAAATGAAAATAAAAAAAATTCCCCATGAAGAACCCTCAATAAAATATTATTTGGAAATTTTAGTTTCAAAATAACTCGTGCAATTCATTGAAAATTATAAGAAAGTGCATAAACCACATTTGGTATTATTATCGCTGTCACAAATATGCCAAATTCCAAAATGTGTTAGTACATAACTTCACATATATCTTGCGAAATTTTGACTATAAATCTAATGCATAGAAATAAATCTACTTTAAGATGATAATAAAAATTCTATGGGTTATAATTCGGAAATTTTTTTTGAAAAATTTATAAAAATTATTTAAGGTTACAAATTTTAAAGTTAAAGAATAGAAACATGTGCAGATTTTATTTGGATTGAACTTAAATTTCAAATGGCGAAGGAATCGAGTTAGTTTTATATATTCAAAAAAGAAATATTAATAAATATATACCAAATTTCATTAATATTGAGGAGCTAATATTCTGAAAACTACCAGGATGACTTTTACAAAACCTGGAACTTTTGCATAATTTGAGGCATAGGATTAAAATATGTAAAAAACTTGGTATATCATATTGAAACCAAGTCAGATTTTGTGCCAAAATGCCTATGTTAAAACAATGCCATATATAAATCTAATTCAACCACTTTTTGGAGACATGAAAGACACTAGATGAATTTTGATAATCGGCACAGTAGAACAGGAGATATAGAACTGTCCATTTTTTTACTCTGTATATATGTATGAATATATATTTTATATTCACGTAATTACATATACATATGAATATATATTTTATTTTCATACATATGAATATACATATCAAATTGCGTATGTGTATGTTATAAACTAAGGAATGAATTTTTAATATTTTCTTAATTTGTTTTAATGAATTTCAGGCCTCTAAAACGACCCTGGGAATGTCAGCAAGTTAGCAAATTTAAACCCAAGTATGTTTGCACAGTTTTGTTTTTCTAATCATTTTATTTTATTATAATTTTACATTAATGTTACATATACATACACAATCCATTTATTAAGTTTTAAGGCTAATTTCTCTTTGGAAACATTCTAGCAAATCTGTAAAACAATAATTGAGAGCATTTGTTGCTATACAGTTTAACTTACTTGTTCTGAAATATCATCTGTATGGAGAGAATTTTCTTTACAATTAATAATTTACTTTGGTCTATTGAATGTCTGCTGTTGTGTTTCAAAAGCTGAACAAAGCATAGCTATAAGGTTTTGCTGTAAAGTGTTTCAACAGCAGCAGAGACATTTGAAACGTAGTGTAAAATATACAAAGGTCAAGTATTAACATGATCCAATGTTTTTTTATAGGTACAGATTATTCTATAATGAATGCAAAAATGTCACACTTTATGCTTTCATGAGTTCACTTTATACGTATCAATGAAAATATAAAAGTTCAAGAACTGATGCTGAAAAATCTTCACCCGTTTTTTCGAATGATAGTTGATGAGCTTCGCTTGAATAAGGATGGTGACAAAATTATCCCGAAAGATCTTTAAAAAAGAAAAATTTGTTCTTGTTTTGTGTTGCATGCATTGTTTCCAGAGCAGAAAGAAGACTGAATTTCTATGTGTCATGATTTGATGGTGGACATTCATCCTGATTTTTTAAAATAAATTGTGTCTCGAGATAAAATTTTATGTCTTGCTTATGATCCTGAGATGAAACAGCAAATATCTACTTTGCATTCAAGAAGGTTCATCATTGTTGTGTAAAAGCCCTATTGGGGCCTTTTCTAGTTAGGAAGGGATAATTCACAATAAATTCAACAGAAAATAAACTCCATTTTTTTTATGTTAATGGACAGACTTTTAATGAGAATCTAGCTTGTTAGACATAAGAAATCTAATTGAATAACTGCTAAATGACATGACTGGTTTCTGCTACATTTCAGTGCATTATCATTCAGATCCATTCTTGTAAAGCAGCTCTTAACAAAGAAAAGATTCCCGTTCTCAACATCCCCATTTTCCACCAATTTTGGCACTTGCAGGCTTCATTCTCTTCTCTAAAGTTTCACCTCAATGTTTTAATAACACTGAAGTATTAAAAAAGCCATAACCAGAAACGTACAGTATTCCAAAGGATAAATTCTGTAGAGGAATCAAGCATTACATTAACTTAGAAAGGCTGTTGAAGAATTAAAAGGCTAAAGATTAGAATGAAGTTGAAATGAAGCTAAAGAATTCTGTTCTACATCCAAACTTTATATAAATGAATTTAAATACATAAATTGTGACAAACAGTATTTACTTTCCTAATTTTATTGAAAAGCTTATTAAGAAAATCAATGGGCAAGCTTTTGCAGTTATTTCTGAAAAAATAAAGTTGCTACTGATGCAAGAATTAATTAGAAGTAAATTAGTGGAAATATTTCACTGCTATTTGACCATCCCACACATCAGTTCTGATTTTAAAAGGTTTAACTATAAACTTACCATAATACCATTCTCATCCAATATGGAATCTGTCATCTGCATTTTTCAAGGTTGGGGAAGGGGTGTTTTTTTCTTTTTAATTTGTTTCAGTGTTTTTGACAAAATGTTGTAAATTTGATACTGTAGAGGTGAGCAATTATGATGTTATCTCTCATTTTCCTTTAC